TTGCATTTTATTATAAGAGATATACCTACTTCTCATCATCAATGATTAATTTATTACTTTTGTCGCGAAATGAAATTACTTCATTCGATAAAATAACAAGTAATTACTGTAAATAAACTCTTGAACTTCAATCAAAATATACTAATTTCCACTACATTTTCTCATTTACTTACCTAGTGGAATGGAATCTATTTTTGTGCGCTCCAAGAGACGTTATTATTAGAGAAGTAGACAAGTATATGAAGTATCTATCTACCAAAGCAATGATTTAAATATAGCATGGACGTCATAAAGCTTTTTTAATCGTTGTGTATAAATTCTTGCATTTGATAATTTTCACGAAATGACACTATACTATGACTATACTGCCTATCTATTTCAAAGTCACTCGTTCGTTATCAATTCGTAATTATCGTAATATGTAATCAAATGCAATTGTTTAATTAGTACCTATCTCGCATAAAAAGAATAATTATTTAATTAAAATGTTTGTCCCAATTTATTAAATAAATATTAATGTTATATAACTTTAATAATTTTGTGTCTGACCAACGCGCCTATATAATAGAATATTCATAACTAAAATACTTATGATCATAAGTGAAGACGATCACGATCACGAATGTTTGTGTATCGTACCATCCAAAGGTACCCTGAAACCATGTCTTGTTGATAACCGTGAGATGCGGCCGACCGCGGTCTATACGAACAAACCAGGCCGTTAATGCAGTCAAGGCCAGAAATCGTCAAAATACCGTAAGGAAGCAAAATATCCTTTCCAGAGAAATAAGAATGCCACTGAGGACACTTTCTCGGATTATCAAACAAAACTTAGGTCTAGGCTTACCGGAGATACACAAGACATAACTTAAATCAAGCACTAATACAAAAGAGAGTCGAAAGATCAAAACAGCTGTTACTTCGATACGCGGACGAAAAACACAGAAAAATTCAATTTACCGATGAATTTTTTTTACAATCGAGGAGCACTACAACAAACAAAATAATTGAGTGTATGCACACAGCTCTAAAGAAGCTTCCGAGGTAGTCGCCAAAGTTCAGCGAGGCCATCATGCAGCATACGTCATGGCTTGGTGGGGTGTCTCCTACCAAGGGGTTCCAAAACTCCATTTTTGCGAAAAACAACTGAAAATTTCAGCTAAAGTGTACCAAGATACCGTATTAGAAGCAGTAATTAAACCTCTCAAAAACGAAGTGTGGACATTCCAACAGGATTCAACCCCGGGTCATAAGGCGCGCACCACCCAAATTTGGCTTGAGCAAAATGTTCCAGACTTCATAAAGGCTGATGATTAGCCTTCGGCTAGTCCATACTTAAACCCTTTGGAATATTAATTGTATATTAATTGTGGTGCATGGGCTGCTCTAAGTGTCACCCAAATATTGAATCGCTCAAGAAATCTTTTTAGGCAGCATGACTAAGTTTCCATTGGAAACCGTTCGTAAATCCATCGACGATGGCCCGACCGTTTAAAAGCGTGCGTTAAAGCTAAGGGTGGCCACTTTGAATAACCAGTTTAGTACGTTAACATATCTTTTTCACTCTACATAATCACATATAAAACTTTAAGATACAATTATTTTTTAGAAATTATCGGTTATTTTCTTTGTAACAGAACTTATGGCTAGACTAGGTCTATTTTTCAAAAAAGTTTTATATCATGCTTTTAGTGATATTGATTTTTTTATACATAAAAGTTAAGTCTAAAAACACTTTTCTGAAAACCGCGTTAAAATCGGTTCAGCCAAACGTGAAATAATCGCGGACAATACATACAACACGTATTAAAGTGCGACCCTCAATTTTGTTAGTCGGTTAATATATCTAAAACCTAATCCTAAGTCTGACAAATACATACATTAAAGTCACACTGAGGATTTTTGAAGTCGGTAAAAAAGGAAGTGGCTTATAGAACTGTGCATTCAAGTCAAGAAATATTATAGAGAACATTTTCTTTTGAAGACCGCGTACCTAACTATAATTTTAGCCTGTGCAATTTTAACAATCTATTAAATATTTAATAGAAACTTTTCAACTTTCGTGTTGCTTTTGTAACGATTAATTGTAATCGCGTTAAACCTGTTCTTTAATATTTATTACTATTTCAGTGATAGAAGTAACAATAGGAATATGTAGTCCCAATAATACGAGCAAAGATTTAATTAATTCGTCCAATTTTTAATGTATAGACACGATGACAAGCCGATGTGTAATCGAGGCCAGTGAAACGGTATTAAGGTGAATTCGTGCCTAATATCATGGAATGAAAAAACATCCCAAATCGCTTTTAAAACGGAAAGTTGGTAGGTAATTGCACCACACATTACGTTAGCTGACCATTGAATTTAACGACTACACGCTTGTAGAGAAAGTAATTTTGCTTTCATTTTAAATTTTTTAAATTTAAGTAATTTAAATTTTTGAAAGAGAATTATTTATATAGTCGTGATTTTACCTATTTCAGTTAATCGATTCGTGACCTGCCAAATGGCCCGAAAGTGTAAGTAATTTAAACAGTATTTGAAAAACTTATTTAGATTTACTTTATTCGAAATATCTTCTATATAATTAATTGATGAGTTATTCGTCGCATACTTTTTTTACACACTAGACAAACGCACTTAATTAGCGCTAGTTTTCGAATTAAAATCTCCGAGTTTACGATGATCAAACATAATTAATATTAATATTGCGTCTCGTACAGTACCTATGTAGAAGTTATCGTACTCGATAAATCTCTATTGTGTGTAACCAATATGAGCATGTATCACTATTTAAAAAAAAAATGTGCTCATTACGCATTCGGCAGATTCAGTTGTTCTTATTTATAACATACGAATAATCTTCTATCAATTATTATACTATCGCAATTGTCAGTAACATCGATTACCAATTTGTTATCATTGTAAGTATCAATATTATCTCAGTGTAGTTACTTTTATAGTCTTTTGGTCCTTCGAGACGGATCCTATATATCTTTTTCTGTTAACGTAAGAGGGGTGTGGCCGCCTTACCCTCTCACTATAACTCTAGCCATAGCTATAACCAAGTATAACTTAGGATTATTCATATCATAAAATTCATGCCACCTTTGTAGTTTTTTAGATTTCTCAAACTTTCCCTATTAAAGAATATAATAGAAAACATGTGCATTTTAGGGGTAAATTTTATCTCATTTTGACTGTGGCAAAACCTTTACAAATGTAGTTTTCTCATTTTTAATTACATCTTCTTTGGGCATACAAAATACAAAACCAATTAAAATTTTTAGATTTTTTTGGTTCACATTAAATCGATTCCAAGCACGCAATCTTGCGCTATACTTACTAAGTCTCCAACTTTAATTTACTTACTACCAAATCAACGGGTTCTACATAAGCGTAGAACCCGTTGATTTGGTAGTAAGTAAATTAAAGTTATCGTAATGGGAATCCTAAGTGACTAAAAATTCTATTAGCAGTTAATAAGAGAACATTACGTACAATTCTACATTAGGCTAGCCCAGCACAAGCAGTATGATTATGTTATAGACTTTTATCCGAGTTTTTCTATAGTATTTCTATGCTATAAATAATTATGAATTCTGCTTGTAGTCTCTTCTTCAGCAGATAATATTAAGTAACTATCCACTCTCATAACAAGTCGTTAGATGCTAATTAAATAACTATTTAACCTATTAATTAACCATTACACTACTATTCATGAGTAGATTAAGCGCTAATACCCCATATATTTTATCACGACATTATTTTGTTTGTAGAATTCACGAATCATGCCAATGCATTTCAGACTAGTACCTACTCTATTGTACTAACTTATTCATTATAATTATAACGCAAAGATAATTTCTTACTAATTATTCAGAAAACGTTACAAGAAACAAGTCAACATCGTCTGAGTCATAACCACCCATTCCAATGTCTACGTCGTCGTACCTCATTAGGAAGTCGTTCACTCTTATAATTTCATCTACCTACGTCAATTACTATTTTTAACAAATTCATTCATTCGTTTAGAAATTATCAGAGTCCGCTTTTTAGGAGTTTTATCTAACATGGGTATATAACAAGATGAACTCTTCCAATTCTCTCTTAAGTCACCAAATATACTTTTGCTCAGACTACCGAGAGTACGCTACTGTAGATATCGGAAACAAAATTTCGAACGCTTACGTAGTGAGTGACCCTGATGCAACGTATCAAAATCATCCGAACACAGCGTTTACGGAACTATTTGTATGCGTCATAATTTTACATGCGTCGTCGCCACCAGGAAAGTTATTGTTATATTATATTTTAGACCACATTATTACAATCATTATAGTTTCAAATAAATTCGACAATATGGAAATTATTGCTGCTCTTAAACACAAGTAAACTAGTCATCGGAAACACCTGCGATATCTAAACCTAGTTTAAACGAACATTTAAAGAAGAAAGATTTGGTTGTTTTTTCTGTTCATTTTCATGTTTTTTTGTATTGTTGTATTTTATATTTTTAATTTTTTAAAGTTGTATATTGTGTACGTAATGTGTGTTGTCAAAATGAGTTAATTCTATTCTATTATACGTTTGCTGGTTTGCATCGAATATGCTCCGAAACTACTGAAACGATTTTAAAAATTCATCTATGTGAAGCTACATCTAGATAAAGGCTATAATTTACGCGGATGAAGTCACGAAAATACAGCTAGTATACGTATATTTTCTTTGCTAGAACCCTATTATTCTTCATATCAGTGTTTCTCACATTATAAAATGTTCATAAAACATCTTACTTTACTTACTCCTTTGACTGTTCCTTTATAATACTTAGGACCTGCTAGTCGAAGAGAGCAATTTCCTTGACATAGACGTCAAGTCAATATGGATAAATATTAGATGCGGGAGTTTATTTAGTCGACTAGATACATATTTTCCCTCCACTAGTAATGGACTTTTATTAATTCATTCGCGCAAAATTAAATACTTTAAATGTTAAATACACATATTTAATGGAAGACATCGTAATGTATTAATCATGTAACATTGCTTTTACTCTTTATACTTAGGTATAATGCTAATAATGACTTAGTTAAAGAATACAAAAAATAATAGAATAAAATACACATATTGTAATATTTTAGATCACATTATAAATGACACAATTTTGTAGTAAACTTATGTTACTATAAGTAATTACGATGACACTAAGGCCCGTATATAAATACAGAATTTCATTAGTAAGACTATTCCAAATCCTTCAGAGTTCTTCTCAATGCATCTAAATAAATCTCGGCGTGTTTTGGAGCAAATACGAGCGCTGGCCGCAATCGAATGGCAGTTTCACCACAAGCACCACCAAGTACACCTGAAAATTGTATAATGATATTAGAGCGCCAAATAAGGGATGAAACGATACTAACTAGGTATCGATACGTTTACTCGATTTATAGCGGTCATAAGATATAGATATACTAATTTGTATCGGATATTTACAAATGTCTCATCATCGTCGTCATTTTTTGTTTTAAAGCAGATTTTGTACAATTAATAATCAATAGCAATACTCTGTTTATTGAAAAAAGAAGCAGTATAAGCTATAAAAAGGGTTTTTTTTTATTCAGGCTAGGCTGTTACAAGCACTGTTAAAGTCGAGAGCTACGACATCGGTCCATAAATCTACGGCGGGAGATCTTGTACCGAGAAGAACCAGCAAGAAACTCGGCAAGGGCTGCTTTTTTCTCCCTATTTTATTTCATACTAAATAACTAGATAGGTATTGCTTCAAAATTTTGTTGGGAGTGCGCTCTTCAGATAGATAACTTATTTAATTATATTGTGATTAAATTATTACGTAAAAAAATAGCAGAATTAAGGCCCTTATGTTGTGGTATAGTACTATTTAAATAAATATATATTTTTACTAATTATTAATATTATTAAGATATTGAGTTCATAAACATCCTGTTGAATTTCAAGAGTAGGTATCGGTTAGTTTATAATACGCGTGCACACGTTTCAATTATCTATTTGGGGTCTCTTATATTTCTGAAATTTAAGATTGATCCCATTCACAAAACATTCGAATACAGTTTCTAGGTGAAAATGGCAGATTAGTTGAACATCTACAAATATCGGTAGTGATATTCTGTAATATTCTACGCAATACGAATAAAAATAGTGAGTATATTTATATTCTATTTAATCTTTGCTAGTTCAGTAACTGGCATCAGCTAAAAATATTTTATACGCATTTATATGATACGTACCGTTTTTCTTCAAATTGTTATTTAGTTTGTCCCTTAATTCTGTGTTGCATACGGTAAATGCTAAAAATGTACCACGCCCTCTCACACTGTTTATCAGATTTGGGAATTCTTTCTCCAGTTCATGCAGACCATCTTTTAAGATCGCTCCTGATTTTTGTACCAAAGAAAGTAAATTTTCCTGTTTTATGACTTTAAGTACACGCTCCAGTAAAATGAGTTTTCCTGGGTCTCCCATCCATGTATTGAAAATTCGGTAGGATTGTGGTGCCCTGTAAATAAACACAATTGTAATTTATTATCTTTTATGGAAAGCCTACCTACTCGTATTATCACATACCCGGAGGTATATGGTCGATAAAATAGTTTGTTTAATACGTAATAAATTAAAAATGTATATTAATACTACATTACACTTTTAAATATTAGACCACCGAATTCGGAAAACTGGATTCGGTTATCCAGAATTCATATCCGAAAAACCGGGTCCGGTTACCAGGTATTAATATGTACGTACATACTGGATCCGAGGAACAGATCACGGTACCTTTTTGTTTTGTCAAAATAACCACACACTTGTCTAGAATTAACTTATCGGATCCGGTTACCGGGTCCGGTGATTCCATATATCGTCATAATACCGCGCGAAATTCGCGTGTTTTAACTTTTTTATGGACACTTGATACGCGTTAATGTTACTATCCTTCTCATATTTCAGTGAGCCTTGAGTGAAGACTGAACCACGTAGATACTGTTTCCTTTTATTTTAGATTTTAATTGGTTTGGTGCATAATTTGTAATTTTTTTACACACAAATGTAAGAAATTCAATATTTTCTGTATTGAAAGAGTAATGATGATGAAGTTGATTTCGTATAACGTATCGAATCAAGAACTAAAAGGAAAGGTTAGGTCATACTAGTTTGGCCAATCCGGCCGGACCCGGTTATTGATAAAAACCCAATTGGATACGGATGGATTAAAATCACATTGCTTAAATCCCAAATTAAGTAATTAAATCATCTGATACGTCGAAGATATCACAACACCCAGACCCGAGAGCATTGGCCCAAAGCATTATTTGAACGTTAAAATAAACAATGCCGCTGGTAATCTTAACACAATTAAATAAGAGAGAATACATACCTAAAATCGCTTTTGTAATAAAACCCACCAGTCAACATTTTCTTGCTGAAGGTGACAACATCTGGGGGTGTTGGTAGGTCAAAATGTTCATGGGCCCACATTTTCCCTGTGGGTCCACACCCTGTTTGTACTTCATCCATAATCAACGCCACACCTCTCTAATGAAAAAAAAACACGTAAAATGAAGTAAACAAAAGAATCTTTTTTGTACTATACATTCAAAAGGTCTACCTATTAAGTTCCTTCGAAAACAATTTCGTCTATTTTCGAAACTATTATGATCGAAAGAAACCGTTTCCAAAGATTTATGATCTAATGCATAGATAATCTTCATGGATTTGATTTTAACAAAATTATAAGTGATTCGAAATTTTATTTTTGTTCGTGGACAAAAAAGAGTAAGCTCTCGAGGTAAATAAGTGCAAGTCTCGAAACGCCAGTCAGTACTGATAAATGTAACATGATATCACACCTTGCAAACACGACAGATTATCCGTCGCGTTCTGACGTTTACTTCCGTTAGACTCTTGACGCATTTTCCGTCTTTTGTACTGACCCTAAGTTTTTAGCCTTTTTATATTTTTTACGGTTTAGTACGTTTTGTTAGTCTATATCTATACACTAAACGCGCTTTGCAAAATGTCTTTTGGATTAATATATATATAATAAAAATTGAATTTATTTTATCGACTAAACACAATACAGAAAAGAAGATCGCCTGTCGACTTTGTGAGGAACTGGTGTCTGTGAGGGTCGATAGCCTAACGTACAGATCACCAGAGCCCACCACACGGGGAGTATGATTATTTTCGCATTCATACGTCAAGGCTACGATGGAACATGTTTTCAACGTCAAAGAAAAAATCATACACTGCAAAAATATGGTAATATGGGCTGCGGTGGCGCGCATCATTAAGTTTCTGCCCCGGCTTGAAAAACGTTTCGTTGGAAAAGTTGTAGATCCGGGCCTGACAGGATACTTACATCTTTGCATAGACTTTGAAGTTTTTGAAAAAATTGAGGAGACGCTTCATTATCACCACCCTCGGATTGGATAGGTTCCACGATAACCCCAGCAACGGGATTACCAGCTTTCTTATATTTATCCATCAAGTCTTCGACTTGTTCCAAACATCTGAAAAGAATCTTTTGTTATTAACGGCAAATAAATTTGCTCAACATGTTTATTCAATTTTTATGCAATACTATAATTGTTGCAGACAGCCTTACCATATTTTTGATATATTATTACTGGCCTCTGAGGCTTTTATACTTATTTTTAATTTATATTTTTTTTACTTTTTGACTTTGTCAATGTTTGGTTTGTCTTGTATCTTGTGATTTTGTACGTTATTCATAAATAAATCTTTTTTTTCGCTAAAAGTTATCTCATTATATTATCTACAGTCCATTGCTGTCGATTACAATAATAATAATGGTATTCTCAAATTATGTTTAAAATTTACTGCTGTAATAAAACGCCTCCAGTTTTATACAACATTCAAGTATTATAAAACAGCTAGCTTAATAAGTAGTATAGTAAGTAATAGCATTTGTTTCTCTCTTATATGATTGTGTCCCGGAATAACAACAGGCATATTTCCAATATTTTACACAATGGGAATGGCCCCTGGATTTTTCACATGAAATTCTACGGCTATTCCAATATAAATAATCGATTAAATTATCAATAAACATGTTAAGAATTACCGCTTATAATTATGTGTGTCCAGTGAAGACCGATACAACTTCAAAAAGTCTTCAACTTTCGAGTTAAATGATTTTGTGATTAAAAAATTATAAAAAAGATATTGAAGTAATGTAATATGTGTTGCACTTAATTTGGTAATGATAGAAATATTTCTCGCCAAATAGTTAGCGGTGTATTTATTGTAAATAAATTATATCACTTTACTGCACTATACTTGTATGCCTACATTCTAAACTATGACTCATATCAAAGTGTGAATTAGTCAAAAAGGTACAGGTAGGTATTTTATTCTCATACAGATACAGCAAAAAAAAAACTTATATTACTAGAGTTGTATAAATGATATTACTAGAGTTGTATCAGTCTTCATAGGACACATAAAATTAAAGAAATTAAATAGTACAATGAAGAGAAAATGAGTTTTATTTGTGTGCTCTCTACGCTAATTGGTGCTAACCGACATTCCCTATTAAATAGTTCAAAACTCTAATTTTACTCTAATTAGCACTGCAGTGATAACATATGAGGTATGTAAATAATTAACATGAAATATCTATAATGTCCATCAGGCATTTATTCTGCCACACGAATAAAAAATCTAATAATAATACAAGTAAACAACTTCTTTACGTATACAATAATGACTGACATTTAACTATTTAAAGGACATTAAAGAATTTCATAATAGCAAAAGTGAATAAGTTATAATAAGGCGATAAACATAGGTGCGCTATATACATGCATCAAGAAAAAAAATAATTACTGCACCAAGAATGTAAAATGGCCATCGTTGCGAGTTTCAATTCAACAGCATCGCAATATAAAACAAATCTCCGTATCAGGTATAAAAATAAGTGTTATGCAAGCCTGAAAGTAACAAGAAAAAACAGAACGAAAATAAATAACAAGAAAATGATAATATGCTAAGCTATTGAAATTCAGTAAACAAATTTAACTAATACTTCTCATCTTCTCGCTGATTTTCGCGTTGAAAATTGGAAAGCGGGTATTTGTATTTTGGAAACGGAGCCGCTGGCCAATCAAAAGCTGGACAATCCAATTTATGTATTGGCTTTGACCTCGTCGTAGACAGAGTTCCAAACGTTCGTCCGTGGAAACTTCCCTGGAAAGAAATGTCCGTTCATTTAATGTCCATTATCATAATCATTAAAACTTTGATTCGTATTTGTAATTAGAGATACAAATACGAATTAAATATCAACAAAATTTCTACCAATGTCTATTTTATATTTTACTTACTTTAAAAGACATAATAGATAATTTAGGAGCTCCCGGTGGCTGATTCAACATGCAAGATTCTATTTCCTCAGGTGTGAAGTCAAGTTTCCCTCCTCTTTCTTTTGTTCTGTACCTCATAAATACTGCTTTATATGCGTTCTCGTTTGAACAAGAACCGCACATCATTGTTGATACTCCAGTTAAGCCCGATGGCGCGACAGAGAGCAAAACATTTCTTAATTTTTCAGGCCAATCTTTTGATGGAAAGACACCAAGCGCAGGTCTGTTAATCAGTGATTTCTAAAACCATAATTTAAAATTCATAATTGAATATATTATCACTCTGCAAGTCTATACTAATATTATAAAGAGGAAAGATTCGACTGTTTGTTTACATTGAATAGGCTTCGAAACGGCATACTGGACCGACTTTAAAAATTCTGTCATCTGCTACATCATACGCAGGTGGCACGGGCTATAACTTACCAGGGCAAACTGGTGAGCAAATCGTTAGCAAGTTAGTATTAGCAATCCTGAAATCCGGATCCGGCTTGATTTTACACACACCAGACCCGGTACAATCTTATCGGATCCGGTGAATCCATATTTCTCAAAATATCGGTCGCACCTGCATGCTTGAGCGTCTTATCGACACTCGATAAGTGTTACTGTCCCGCTCACATTTCAGCGGTGTATATATCATTGGTAGGTCAACTCGGACATATAGCGTTTTGAAACTGCCTGCACCTTTTTTGTTATCTTAGTTGTGGATGATTATGAACTTATTATGTATGACTTATATATAATTTTTAATGATACTATTAATATATTTAGGAGCTTATCTATAAAATCTATCTAAGCAGACTGACACTCGTATATACTATATATAGTCGATAGAAGTAAAAGAGAATGTGCTATAATTTAAGCGGATATTTATACCTATTACATATATACAGTTTTGAAATAAGATCTAATTATAGTTAGAATGCTATTAACAATTCTTACTTCATCAAATTCCCCTCTATAAGTAAAATATCTGCTTGAGATATGACATTTCCTCGAGTAATTACTTTTCTTGACTAAAGATACGAGCGTGAATCACTTAGACACTATTTGATTTATTCGACCAATCCGACCAAAACGCAATACCTATCAAAAATAGTATGCGCAAATTCTTAATAAACTTCTTACTATATGACCTTCATACAGCTTCTTTTAAAATTTCAACAACATTTATAGTAAGAGATAACCAGAAACTAAATTAACCAAAATATAAAATTAAGAGGGCGTCTTACTATAAAATTACTATTGTATATTGTTTCCGCTATATTCCGTCATCATCTATCCCTATCTATCTTAATGGCTATTATTTTGGTCTTGTTCTCTCCTGTTTATATACTTACTAAATTATGCTGATCTGCAAAAGCGTTTAGCAATTCTGGATGGTTATATCCAACAGGGACAGATGATATTTGAGTGAATGCGTCCAAAAATTCATTACCATCTGCATCGACGAAATAATTACCGATACATTTATCGTAATCTGCAAACAGCTGAACAGAGCCTGCTTGCTGAAATGAACACATTCATTGTCAAACAACTAATTACGGGAAATAATATGTATATCTATTACTTTCTTTTTTAAATATATATCTTTATAGAAATAATCAAAACATCAAAAATGTTATTATGTGGTATCATAAAGAAATCAGTTTTATTTCAAGTGTTTTTAAACAAACTACATTGACAAATTAAGTTGAAATATTATGAAACAAAAATAGGTTGGTTTAGCATAGCTATCATAACAACTGCCATCCGGAGCCCCATTGAATTGAATGTAATAAATCATTCAATGAACGTTCGTTATTATCTTGTAGAGATTGACGACATAGCTGATATTACGTTCTATTTATGTTACAATATCTATAAAATAGAATTTAACAATATATGCTACAGAGAACATAAAAAGGTAAGCGGATATCAGAAAAGAAAATACCTATCCGTTCATCTAAACAGATTTCTTATAATAACTCATTATATTGCGCATATTAATTATTTTACTAGAAGTTCGAGAAAGCGGAATTCCTATAAAGTATTTTTCAGCTTATCATTTTATGATATGAAAAATTGCACAATTTTAATTCTCATAGTATACCCTCGAGAAATTCCACGATAAATCCTAGTACGGGAATGATCGAGTTCCTTATGCACTTATTACAAATGTAAAGGTTTCTCTGAATGTTAGAAATATGTATGTATGCATTTTCAAGAAATTATATCAGTAACAAGAGAAGGTAACCGTAAATTATGCAGGTGTGCTACAATGCTTCAATTAATATATTTTTGCATCAAATGGTAACCGAGTTATAAAGCAGGCATTTTAAATAAGTGGTTATTTTTAATTTAGATATTTAACTGTGATGCTGGTCTCCATCAGATCAAGACTCGAATTTTAGGAATTTAATTTTTAGTTTCTGATTATGACAATGACATTGTTAATGTATTTAGGCGAAAAAGATAATATTTTAATTTAAAAAAATGCAGTCTACCTGCAGAGAATTAAGGTCTTTCAGTAATTCTACAGTTTTTGGTCCAGGTACAGATGTTCTAATACATGGTTTTAGAGGTTCACTTTGAGCTTCTGTTGATAGTCGCTGACAATCTGAGGACAAAATTATTGGAATAAATTTTCTTTTAACTCAGTTTATAGGTACTAATATCACACAGTATAAACGTACCAATATTATAAAGAGGTAAAAAGTTTCTTTGTTTATTTGTTTATACAGGGTCCTCTATATCTTTAAAATACCGATCTGATTATGAAAATTCTTTCATCTACGCGGTTTGGAAGCTTTATCATACCCGAATGATATAGGTAGGCTATAATATACCCATGCGGCCGAAGGCTAAGGGTAAACAGATAGTATGTTCTACTTAAAATAAAAGATATACACGTGTTATAAAATATATCCTGCGTATATTTTTTCGAAAGGTAGTAGAAAATCTTTGGAAAATATCCTTACTATCCTTATTCATCGAAAATTTATTTATAGTAAAAATTTCCAATCCATCCTAGAAATAATGGTAGCGGTCTATTGGTCCCAGGATACAAACCAAATGGCTAGTTTAGATACTAACATCAAATGACAATTATATACCCTCGAAAAAGATAGAAATGGAAAGACAAGAACAAAATGCGATATTATTTAAACAGCAACGAAAAATACCTAAACTATGTATTCCTAAGCAACATAATGTATACTATAAATTAAGATTAGATAATATCTTTGACCAAAATAAAATCATAAAATAATCAGAGGATACACACAACGACACAATCAATTTCAATCGAAGCCCTTGTGTTATTATCAGACATATTATATATCAGTGTCAGGTTTATTTTATCGCTTGAAAAGCTTCATTATTTATACCCGGGCAAATAATATATACACTAACGACAAGGAGAAACAATACGTGACATCAACATTTTTAAGTTGATTTGTTGATCGAAGTCTTTAACTCGTTTTGCTCTGTGACTTGTTCAATTATAGTATAATTGGAGAGTATCGTGCTATGTGCGTGCGTGTATGCTGGGGACAATTTTTGACATCGTATTAGTACTGACATGACCTATTTACCCTTTTTTATTGTAAAATCATTGGATACGGCCGTGCCATGTTTACTAGTTTCTCGACTTGGCGGGAGCACTTCCGTGCCCCTAGATAAAGAAAACACAAAAAAAAAACTGAAAAAAAAGTTATATTGTGATAAAATAGTGCGACTTAAAACTTCTTTTGCCTTAAAAATGCCGCTAGTTAAAATGATATTTATTCTTATTATTTAATAAAATATCGATAGAAATATCCAAATTTGATAATGACGCATAGACTTTTACTTGCGGGGCAAACTATGTATGGAGCGTCGGTCGGACGTCTCCCTTCATTGCAAACACAACAGCGTCTTGGAGCAGTAATCGAAAGACATAGGTATATACGCTACAATAAGTAAATACCGTAAATAACATACATACTATACTTACGAGTCAAAATCCCTGTAGCAGCGGGCCGGTTTTTACACAACACTGTTTTTGTTATTCGCAACATCGTTAACGACCTGTGAAATAAAATAAATGCTTACTAAAGCTGCAATCATATGTAGCCAGTGCCACAAGTGGTCTCGCGACGGTAAACGATTGATTTCGCATATCTACACATATGGGACATAGGCTATGTAATAAGTATCGGGTAGAGCAAATACTACCCGATTTCTTGGTGAAGCCACCTCTGAGACAAATTAGAAGATTTGATTTTGTACATTGTATCGAGTCTAGGTGTTGTTGCTTACCTTACCTTTGTAGATTCAAATTTCTAGGAATTCCTTGCCTATCTAGTCACTGACATTGGGAGGTAATAGGGGTACATGTGAGATCTAGTACAATTATACAGTCTGTCTATAAAGTCATGAAAAGAATGTTTGAGGAACTAACATTAGACACAAGTATGACAACACTGAATCAAAGTACATCGACTGTCAACAACTTGATTTTTTAGCTCGATTTTCTGCATTTTTGATTTGTTTTGATTAAACTGAAGCTACTTCTTCTAAACTCCGTAGAAAAGTGTTAAAAATGAAGAGCATTAATCGGAGTGAAGCTCAGGATATTATTTATAAAGTTTTTCAGTGACGTTTATTGGAACAAGAAGCTGGACACATTTTATCATATTTGTAGGATGTTAAAGCTCAAACGGCAGTTATGTCTGGTATGTAATCGTGTTACTGATTGAGTTTTGGTTACCAGTAGTTTCAAATTTACTAAATATATGAATTTAAGTCTAAAATAAGTATTGTTTACATTATGCATTTATAGGTTAGATTGTAAATGTTAGAAGGCTATATTATAGTGCGGCCCGAACTTTTAATACTTTTGGATAATCAAATTTATCATTGATTTTAATCTGAATAAAAAATATATCTGTTAGTAATGTACGATTTTTACCTACGTACGTCAATAAAAAGTTTGTGCTTTATATTACTAAAATTATAGCATTAATTTGATCATTGTGGCGATTTCATTCTTTTTGCCAAATACCTATAGGTATTACATTTTTAAAACTTACTTTCGGGAAAATCAGAGAATATAGTGATACGTATTGTAGATGAAGGCTATAAAAATGGTGCCATATTTGAAACTCCTGGGAAACATAGATAGTCGTCCTAAGAAATAAATGGTTAACTGCAACATTTGTGCACTTCGACAAAAGATTCAGTTCTTTTACTCTATGAGAAAAAGAGGTACCTACATGAAGAAAACATCAGTGGATTGCCAAAACCGATCTGGATTTTAATTGTAGCCTAGATGTTCTGCGTTAAATTCTGAAATAGATTGGGTTTTCTTTCAAGGAGTGTCAAAGTAACAGGCTTTAATCGAACACAAGCACACATTGCAGTAAAACGAGAAAACAACTTGGCAATTATAAAAAAAAAAAAAGATTTATCAAAAATTACGATTACTATATTGTAATCTTCAATGTAGAATAAACTCATTGTCTACGAATTATACGTCTTTCTTTACCTTTTCTGGGGTAATAAAAGTAAAAAAAAATATCCTGTTTATTTATAAATAAAGAAAATCCTACTATCAAAATCATTTGTCTCACTACACAGGGTTGCTACGTGCACGATCGCAGCGCCCTCAATTTTTTTCATGACTTTATAGACAGACTGTACGTGTGAAATTAGCTAGGTATTTTATTTACTAACTAACATGAAGGTTACGGACTACATATGTCGATTCTTATCTGTCGAGATATTAAATTTCTTTAAATGAAATTTTGTACCACTTTATTGTCGTTTGAACATCTACAACGTTTCAAGTGACATACAGAACTAAATTTCAATTTTATTCTCAAATTGAAATAAAAACAAAATGGTGATATCTCCACGACGTTTTACGTGATATACAGAACTAATTTTCAATTTTATTCTATAATGTAAATAAAAACAAAAAGGTGAAATATCTACACAAGCTATTTGAAAACTTGAGAATCCTAATTATGGCGCGCCCACTTGCCAATTCCGAGATTTCTATACAAATGGCAGAAGCACAGTGACAGAAACAAGTGGTGACAAAAAATCACAAGGACGCACGTAGCCTAATGTGAATTATATTGAGCCTGTGACATGTGGCGCCACCTCTGATTAGATTATACTAATTTATTTATATTTTTCAATTTCACACATATCTTGATACCCAAAACGGGCAAATTTAATCAGTTAATTAAGTATGCAAAATAATGCACATACCTATATGAAAACGATACACGCGGGAAAGCACGGGGCAGGCCAAATATTATTGCAACTTTAGTTAATTTCAAGGACCATCAGGACCTTCTTTACAATACATATCTACCTACATTACAATATTAGCACAGAATCCACAGATAGGTGATATAGCATAATTGTAATGTCAGCAAAGAGTTAGGAAAGTCGCCCGTTTTAATTATTTATTTTAACTCTAAATGATAGGTAAGACTGATTCTAACGAAACACAGTATTATTTTTCCTATTATTTATTTCCACATCTCTTATAGATATCGATTATTGCATGGCGCAAATGGATGGATGGCATGGTACAACATTTACTTCCAATTATTAATTTTATTACGTAAAAGACGTATTTTAAGACTGATGTACAGCTTCATATGTAATAATTCTTAATTTTGAAATAGTGAATTTTCGTGCTTTTCAACTTTGATTACAACAAATTATTATTCAAAATCAATAGGATAGTGGAAACCTTCACTACTAATAAGTTATTTACCGTAATAATTGATGTTCATTTTAATTAAATATTACGTTAAACTGTTAATGCTCAATGCTGAAACAATAATATTTTACGTACCTTTTATATCTCACGAATTTACAGATCAGCTGATGTGAAATAGTGGAGAGCTCGAATTTGAAAGCCAGTGCCTAGGGATGCAACGAGAAATCAAAAAAACGATATTTTTCAATATATCGATATAAATGTCCGTGTGGTCGCAATTTATCGTATGTCAATGTCATGTGTTACACAAAAAAATCGGTTTAAATTACCTTCGCCTGTCCCATGGACGAATTATAATACTACTACTACAACAAAAAAAATCGTTTGTTGTTACTGTGAATAATTAAAATAATATATAAGTAATCGATTTATTGTAATAGGCTATTTACACTGTTTTGAAAACTATTTTAAATGGTTGCTTTAAAATGTATAAGCAACCATTTAAAATAGTTTTCAAAACAGTGTAAATAGCCTATTACAATAAATCGATTACTTATATATTATTTTACACTCTCGATATATTTCATGGGAATTTGTTAGTTCTATTTTCGATGAAAATAATTGTTAAAGTTTAAATAGCCAAAATCGCGCAAAAACGCTGCTCTATATAAATGCTTAATTAAATGTTTGTATCATGATATTGTTTATAGACATGAGCTACAAACTGTATGTATAAATAAAAATGTTATGTATCCCTAATAATACTGTTTTGACATGACAGCTTCTTATTTGTGTTATTCGTGTAACGTGACACACCGGTAAACAGAACCTGCGACAACTACGTTCATTAAATTCCTAAAAATGTTGCATATTATTTCTTTACGTCATTTAAAGCTAAACATATGTTGTCTGCAGATTCTAAGAAATAAACTTTATTAGGTTATTACCTAACCGGATGACCACAACATGCAACTTACTTTGAATAATGTCACTACCCCAATTTCAAATACATATTTTTATTTATAAGAAAATTCGATTTATTATATCGATTTATTTTACATCCCTAATTAAAACGTCAATGTCAACTTAATGTCAACCAAGAAAACAACAATCGACAGTTTTTGTTTCGGGCTGTTTTGGGAATTAAACATTTAATAGTTTAAATAAAAAGATACTATCATGTTAAATAAAGTACTCCTATCGCCAGACGTAGCTCTGGTTTGTACTCAACATGCTCTATCAACAGAGAAAGAAGAAATAATGGGGCTACTCATTGGAGAGGTGCAATATAATTTGAACTTAAGCTACGTATTGATCTCATTGTCTCAATAAAATTCAATTGTTTATACTTTTTATTTTAAGGTACATGATAACGGTACCGTCGTTTCCATTGCATCATCTGTAATACTGCGTAGACTAGACAAAAAACCAGATCGTGTAGAGATCTCTGAGGAGCAACTTGTGCAAGCTACTATGAGAGCAGAAGAACTTGCCGCGGAAGTTGGTCGACCACTTAGAGTTGTAGGATGGTACCACTCTCATCCACACATAACTGTGTGGCCTTCACATGTTGGTGAGCTACCTGTCAGATGTATTACCAGACTATTTTAAAAACATAATCATTAGTTTGATCTTTCTTTCTTTACAGATCTTGCGACACAATACATGTATCAGAGAATGGATTCTAGCTTTGTGGGAATCATTTTTGCAGTTTTTCTCACAGAGCAATCTACTAAAGCACCATCGGTAATGAACTCAGTTTATTATTATAATTTTAGATGTAATATATTTTCTTGCAATTAAATTTAAGCTTGATTAAGTCTGGATAAGTGAAAACCTATGTTACTGTTATAATGCAGTTTTGACATTTGCATTAAAATACCCATTACTGTGAATTTTCAAACATTGTCAACTAATGATTTTATATATTGTATATTTTTTATCTATTGACAATTGCGACAAGCCTTTTAATTGTTTTTAGATTCAAATCACTTGTTTTCAATCGGTAAATGAAGGTTCAAACCTAAGTAGGAGAGAAGTAACAATGGAATTAGTCAATAACAATGACTCTTTATTGGAAAACAATTTTCAGGTAAGTAGATACAATGAAATCAAAATGTTCTATTTTAATAAATTACATTAAATAGGGCGAAAGTTTACAAAATCATCAGAAATATTATTGGATATAAACATAATGGGTATATTATTTATATTTTCAATCATGTTTGTTTTAACAGATGCTAACTAAGCTACCAGCAATTCTCAAAGAAGAAGAAGATGAGGCTTATAATAATGAAGTTGGCCAGGCTGAATGCCATGACATTATAAATAAACAACATAATGCAGCTGTTAGAACAATTGCAATAGGCCACATTGTTGAAAAGGTTTGTTTATTGATAATGAACATTTTACACAGTGACTATATGAATCACATCAGTACTAAACTTATGACATATGATTCATATAATATCTACATTTCATATTACAGATGTCTCGTCCTATGCTGGAGGCTCTTGTTGCCAGGAATGCATTAAATACTGTGCGTGTAAAAGCTCTAAAGAAACAGCATCAAGAAATGATGTTACGCTTAGAAACAATGCCTTGTAATGTTTAAGATGTTATTTATTACATATTTGACAGAATATTTAGTAACAATAAATATTATTGATACATAAATACCAAAAACAAACATGATTAATTCACATTAAGTCATGTTTATCTACTATTTCAAAACCATCAGATGAATCAGCACTTGCAACTCTCTTTCTCTTATTGTCATCAGTTTTTGTATACATCATATTTGATACAGCACCTGTTAAATTCCATAAAACATTATAAGCTGAACTACTCCATGTTGTTGCTTGTTCAGCTACTTCAACAGTTGACTGAAGATGTTCCTTATGCCTTTCTGAAATTTAATAAATATTATTAATATTAGAATTTTACATGTTAAGATAAACCACAGTAGTATTCTAAACATTTTGTGGTTTTGTTATTAAAATGATGAAGTAGACATACCAATTGGTATATATTCATCATCACTGGAATCTGTAGTGTCTACATCTTTATCAAATGTACGCATTTTTTCCATTGATAAATTTGTAACAAGTGAACTGCTATTTTCTGAACTGTCACTGACTTCTTCAATAGGTAAATCGTCTGGTTTCCAATAATCTGAGATAAAAATATGCTAATTAAACAAAATTAAAAAGGTAACACCATATAATTTTGGAGGTAATTTTATTTTTATGGGAACCATAGTAAGACATACAAAGTATTACCTAAGCTTTGTCGTTCATCAAATAACTGATTTTGTTCAGGTTCTATAGATAGCAACTTTATATCATTATCAGTCACTTCAGGAATAAGACCTTCAAACTCCATATCAGAATCTGAAAACAAAAATGCAACAAGGTTGACAACAGACAAATTATTACTTACTAGAAACATAAATTAGAACATCTCAATACCTTTTGACATGAAGTGACAATACCTTTCGACTAACATTTTGTTTTAAAAATTTATTTTCATTAATAATATTACAAAGAAGGTACTGTCACTTTGACCATCTGTGACTTTCAACAATGTCTTGCTATACCAGTAATAGTTGATAAAACTTTGATCATACCTGCATTTTGTTGAAGCTTTTTAACAATTTTTATAGCAGGTGGAGCCAATTTGTTAATAAAACATACAGCCATACACAAAACATAAAATAATAGATATCCTCCCATGCATTTGCCTAATATAAGTATCCCTCCTAATACCAAGTTCACCAATATAAATGCCTGGAAAAAAATTATTAGGCTTATTATAAAATAGAAAGTGTAATTAATTAAACTGTTTAAGTGTAGGTAATTAATTAGTACTGGTTTTATAGACTTATGATAAATAGCTAAGATAGGCAAGGCTCAGATAAAGTTAGGAAAGCTTCCTTATATGCTACATCTCACACCCAATGAATTAAAAATGACACTGACAATTAATAACATAGATAAGCCTTTTCACCAAATTAATAGTATGAAAAATTGAAAATTTTGAAACATTAAGTCCTGAAGCTAGGGTACATTTAATATCAATCAATCATCATAACATTTATATTTTTTGCATAATTAATAAATTACAGTGATACATTGAGTTAAAATGTCACATGATGTCATGTTTTTTTGACATAGCATGCCCCACTCCTCAACTTTAATGTCTATTAACTAAGCTATTTCTTGATTAATTTATTGCATTAAAATATGTATTATATAAATTATTACTTTTACCTTAGTATGATTGGTTTCCCGTAAGTACATATACTCTATCCATTTTTTATGTAACCAACATCTTACTTGGAGAGTCACTTTGCTCAACTCATCTCCACTATGATCAGAGAGTCTTTTTAAACATGTAGTTCTATGTTTGTGTTTTAACCATGTTTCAAATGCGTCAATAGAAATAAAAGAGACGCAAAAATACAAAACCACTTCTAAAATGTTGATTTGTTTGTTTATAAATATACTGAAAATAAAATCTGTGAGGTATTAAATAATAACTAAATAAATAGGTACTTAATTCAAAATACTTACAAAAACGTCACATTTAAAACAAAAATAAATGTTAAAGAAAGCCACACTCTCTTCCAAAATAATATATCTTCAAGAACCCCTTTTAAAATAGAAATTATGTGATATGATTGTGTTTGTTGACTTTTCTGAATATCCAATTTTCTTGAAGCTCCCCATTTTAAAAACCTTTTCACAGAAGCATACATTCTTAATAATGCGCAGTTATTTTAATTTAGATCGAATTCATCGCTTTGTTTTCGCTTGCTTGATGAAAACCAAATTCGCAAAAAATATTTACAGTTGTTGTTTTAAATAAAATGCAAAAGAATCTCGCCAATGCAGCTATAATTGTTCATTGTGTTATTTACAAAAGTATTGAGTTCAATATTATCTGTTTCAGTCACTATCGATATATCCCTTCACAAAACCGATATATCTATATTTTTTAAAGCCAGTAAACCTAAAAGATCTTGTTTTTAAAAATCTATACTGTCAGTGATAGGGTATTCTACTCTGCTTGAAATAGTACTTGTAAGTGTTCAACTTTTTTATACCCTCAAAAACCCTGTGCGCTATATTCATGACTTCATTCCGAAATGTACACAATACGGATGTATAAAGTTGTAAATTAAAAGATGTTAATAAAACAAGAAACAGTGCCATCTAACGATAAGTTACAAAAAAAAAGAAATAAATATTCTGAGAACAGCATCAGCTAGGAATTTGATTTATAAAATAAATAAGCTTACAAGAGCGATGCCATCCAATGACGGATTGTATTTCAAGCATGTTTCAAGACAAACATACATAAAATCTGTACCTTTTATTTTAATATAACCATGCATTTTTAAGACTCAGAATGTCTATTAAAAAAAAAAAATAGTTATTAAAAACTGAAATTTGAAAAGTTCGAAACTTAGATATCAATACGAAATTGAAAAACTAAAAACAGAGAGTTGTTTATTGAGTTTTGAAAACTAATTTACTTTTAAACATGAAAGAAAACCGAAAGGGTTGTCATGGAGAAATCAAGAACGTACCGTAGCGACATCTTGTTTGATTTCGGTAACTAATATTTTTATTGAAATACTTCCACATTGAATTTAGGAACAGCAGCATAGAAAGCATATTTCTGAGTAACCTGTTCCTACTTCTTGTGCTGGTGGCTTCTACATTTCAAAAAAGCACATTTCAAGTTTAGATGGAAGGCATGTTCGTGGCCACAATAGGAATATATCTCATTGCCACTTTAAGCAGAATGGGATCACATTAGAATATACACCCTGCATCTCTTTTCATACCTCAAGAACGTTTTCGAATGTGGAAGTATTAAAAAAAAATAAGTTCCCGAAATCAAACAAGTCGTTACGGTACTTTCTCGATTTCTCCATGACAATCCTTCCGGTTTTCTTTCGTGTATAAAGAAAAGAGTCAATTAATTTTCAAAACTCAATAAACAAGTCATATCCTATTTGTACTTTATCGTATTTGTATTGATATCTAAGTTTCGAACTATGCAAATTTCAGTCTTTTATTTAATATGTTGAATAAAAGGAACGGAAATGACTATCTACCATTTAGTGAGGTGCTTTTTTAGATACTTCCTCATTACGCTTTCTTTTAAATACTTCCTCATTACGTTACGTTAGGGTAAAAAAATATTTTTTTGGACGCGATGGGGGAACACTTTAGAGTTAAGCCGTTCAGTAATGTCATGTGATATCAGCCGTTAAATTATTATTATTTTGTTGATACAGCTAAAAGTGTTTCCGATCACATTTTATTCATTTCACTCCATTTGATGTTAGGTTTCAATACGATGTTATTTTTCGTTACCAAATATTTTATATTTTATGAGACTCGATACGTCAATATCTTTATTTTTCGGTATATCGTCCATCCCTAGTTGACAGTGACAATTAACAATTTACTTGTTTGACATTGACACTTCATGCATGATCTAAGTTTTTATAGGTGTTATGAATGGTATTTTACTGAGTTAGATAAATTTAAATAATCTTATTTTACAAACTGTTTGAGCCTGTGTTTGTATAATGAGCACGACTATTTGTAATAAGAACTCGAATGATGAGGGAGCTAGACCCTACAAATGTCGTGATTATGGCACAAAGTTATCATTAAACTTACAACATTTTAGAAGAGACGGAAGGTTTTGTGATATTGACTTGATCTCTGGTAAAACTAAAGTCAAGGTAAATATGTTGCACTAAACCACGTACCATGTAAATGTAATCGTTTAACTATGCCATCCTATTGAAATGTGTCTTGACTAAAACCAACAAATGTTAAATTTAATGAACTAAATTTAATTATCATACAAGTGAATCTCTTTCACTTACACCTAAATTTAATTTTTATTAATATTAATTTTAAAATATTAAATTCTTTGAATTCCTTAACTATTATATTGATAACATTCACTTGTGTTACTGTCATGTCTGTTCTCTAATTATTGTAATACATAAGCAAATTGATCTAAATAATTGCTGTAAATATTATAATAATAATGAATTAATTTTTAGGCTCATAGAGTGGTGTTGGCTGCTAGCTGTGCTTATTTTGATGCCATGTTTAATGTGGGCCTTGAAGAAAGTCAAAAACGACATGTGTCTTTACCTAGTGTTCCACCTGATATTTTACCTATGATAATAGATTTCATGTACACAGGTACTAATATATTAACATTTTTTCAAGTACTATTTGTGTTGTATACTAGAATATTCTTTGAGGACACATTTCGTGAAAATTTATCTACTTAATAAGGTATTATCATTTTATTTATTATTGAAATATGATCAAAAACCTGTAGGAAAGTGTATTGAAAAGTCTATGGATATTCAATGTAATGCATTATTGTTACATTGATTCCAAATTGCTATATTACATTACTGAAAGTATAACTACATGATCTGTGTTGGCTCTATGGATAATTTATATTCCAGGTGAAATTGTCATTGATAAAGCAACAGTACAACATTTGATGATAGCTGCTGATATGTTACAACTTAGGGAGCTGGTGACTGGATGTGGAGAGTATCTCAGACGAGAGCTGCATCCATCAAATGCTTTAGGAATTTTCAGGTATGTTTTAATAATAATAATAATTTATTTGTGTTTAAATAGGGTCTACAAAAGAGATGTTGACATGACAATTAATACCTATTCAATAGCATGCAAATGCTACTATTTTTCTGAATAAACTTCCTTTGAATATTTTCATGTGTGTGTTTTACTGTTGTTTTTTTTTTTGCTGCAATGTAAAATTTGTTAGTATTTTAGTAAAAAATGATATCCTACAGACTTATATCTGTTTTAAGGACAGGCATAAAAATCAACCAAGTATGAATGGGACTTGCTCACAGAGGGTTCTGTACTAGAAACAAGCAAAAAAGTCATGTCTGTTGTATGGGAACTGCCTTATTTATTTATTCTGTTTGTTTCTTCCATTTGTTGTTATAGTGGTAATAGAAATACATCATCTGTGAAAATTTTAAATGTAACTATTATGTTGCATGAGATACATCCCAGGGACAGATAGACAAAGTCTTAGTAATAGGGTCTTCTTTTTAATGTATTGCAAGAAATTCTTAATTGATTTGGCATTTGAATTTTGAGTAACTCAATAATGCAGTAGTTAGAGCATTTGGTTTACGATGCGTCGGAGGTTTAGAAACTTTCGTGAGAGCCGTACTCAAGTGGGTGGCCAAAAATTTAGAAAGGAATAATAATATTTCCAACTAGCGAATTAATAGATCAGCCAACTGTTGGTTGGCTGGTCTGCGTTGACTTAAGTCCAACCCAACTGTTTAATTGACTAAGTGTATGGCACCGACAGACACCAACAGACAAACTCAACTAAATTCTCGGCCGATGGAAAGCCTGCAATCTATGTAATGTGCTCACTTTAAATTAAATTAAATCTGTGTATTTCTAATATAAATGGCATTAGGTGTGTCATACACAATGCAATGATCTTAAATTCCAAAGATTGTACAGCTTTATTTGATAGTTATGTTATCTATTGGCTAAATGACAGAGCAATAAAGAAATTATATTAAACATTACATACACTGTGTTCTATCTCTGACATGGATTTTTTTTTTTATTTGCATGGGTTTTTTATGTTTAACTTTATCTATTATAGTTATTGGTAATTCATTTAATATTTGAGGGAGAGCACAAACCCAAGCTCTTCTACCATAATAATTATTACATTTGGGTATATCTTAGGCACAGTATAAGTATGACACAGTATAGAAACTGCGCCTATTTGATAAAATAAATACCTACGCTCCATTGAAACCATAGGGTTGTCATTTTGAATGTTTTAGACATTGTTTCTTTTACAAAATATAAAAGGAGTCTGACATTATTAATCAATCGAATTGTAATAACTAATTAACAAACAAAAAAAAAATATACATACACATTTGTTCAGACGGTGATATCTACTTATATTATTCTATATCAGCACATGCGAACACAACATATGCGAAAACTGGGCAGTTCTGGAAATATAGCATACGTACAGGTCGAATTGATAACCTTCATTTTTGAAGTCGGTTAAAAATCGGTTAATCTCAGCAAAAGACGGTAGTTTAACATACGAGAAATAGTTTAATATTGACACAACTTGTAAATCTTTGTTTTCATGTTGATCTTTAACTTGACATTACAGCATAACCTTGTACAAGTTTTTGACGGACACATAGCCGAAGAGCGCACGAAACGTCCAACGTTTCATGCTCTCTTCGGATCGGAGGCGTTGTAGGTAGGCACTGCATTTAGGTGGCGCGCTCATAAGCGGCTGTTTTTGGGTGTTTATCAAGCATTTTCGGGTGGGTGGGTACTACGTTTGAACCCGAAAATATGCATGATACTGAAACGGGTGTTTAAAAAAAACATCTAATTCTAAAAAAAAACTTATTTTTTATTTCACATAAGCCTACTCCTTTCCTTCATTTTTTAAATAAAAACGATCGCGGAACGTGTAACGTAACCCCTCATCTCGACGCGATACGCGTTACTGAGCGTCCTGTTAGGTCCACTTAGGCGGCTCGTCGGTGAACGTGTTTATGTGTGCGTGCGATTTCGAACGCTTGTAGGCAGTTTTACCACTGTCTACTTATATTTACACTGTGTCTTAGGTGAGGAGGTATGATAGAGAAACAGAACAAGGTCTTGTTCATTTGCAAACCTTTTCATACTATTTAAGAAGCTGACCTAACTATCACCCGATAGAATGTTTATAAGTTTATAAGTAACTGAAGTTTTTCCACCATCGTATTTGTCATAAACAAAAGATAAACAAAAAAGTGAAGTTTCGCGATCTGATACAATGAGTGTCGTGTTCGTAAAAGAACTCGAAAGCAGGTAGATCGATATATCTGCAATTAACACCTACCCGCAAATTCTGATGTTAATGACCATGAAAGTTTAAAACAACATATTATTAATGTTTTAGGTTTGCTGAAGCACATAATTGCACTGAGTTAGCAGAGGAAGCTTTAGAACATGCTCAAGCTAACTGGAATATAGTTGCAAATGGAGATGAATTATTGGAACTTCCCCTTCCACAATTAGTTACATTACTGTCATCAGAACAACTTAAAGTGGACAATGAGGCTCAGGTACTTGTCTTACGAAATCATTATTATTTAATAATAATGTATTTTTTCTTTTTATGTAATACTGACTTTTCGCCAGCGGCTTCGCCTGTGAGATACACAATGTTTTGACAGTACATTTATTCTTTGGGAACTGTTTAGTGGGATAAAAAGTAATCTATAACCTAACCATTAAAGTGTTCAGAAGTTTTAGCGTGAAAGAGTAACATACAGACATACATCCTCACAAACATATTAGTAAGATAGTTCAAGAGCTGTACAAATATCTTATATGGCATTAGGTATTTTAAATTGTAAACCACTAGAGTTGTTCCTATATAAACTTACATAAATCTGTAATTAATTTACAGCATATTGTAACATTTCTTATCAAACATAGCCGCCACCTTTAGAATGATTAAAATTAGATCTTACATCTGAGTTTTTTCTGCCATTTGAATATCTTTTCTCAGGTTTTATATCCAGCTTTACGTTGGTTAGAACATGACCCTTCCTGCCGGAGACGTCACTGTTTTGAAGTGTTGAGCCATGTTAGGTTACCACTAATTTCACCACAAGTTCTAGATGAAGCTCTTAAAAATGTTCAAGATCCATCCATAGCAGTTGCATTAAAAACTGTGAGAGTCGATATGGTAAGTGATGATAGGAATGTAATATTTATTTCGATAGCATAAAATAATCATCAATGAAATTTCTCAGATAATTATTAGTTGTGTACTGATGATAATTGTTAAAAAAAAAAATCTATTTGTTAATAAATGTTTTAAAAATGTCCTTTGAAATGATATTCAATAAAATTATTCTTTGTTTTATCATAGTAAATCACATTAGTCAATAGTCAATGAGAAATCACATTGATCAAAAAGTGAAAAATAAAATATATTTTAAACAAAAAGGGATTTTTGATTGTTTGTTTTTGTAGATCCATTCTAGACAATTTTCTCTTTCGGCACAACCACATTTGATAGTTGTAAAGTACAAAAAGAAGTTTGTGTAGTATTTTATAATTATCAATGATAATTTTCACTCCGAACCCTGCTTTTTAATAACTACTGCTTTAAGGGAATATTTTCGTTACATTTGATAGAAAACTGGTCGTGGCGCACTTGTAGCTCTAGCGGCTGAACCTCGAGCACGGGCGCGTCGTATTCTGCTCGTCGCCGGTGGCTCCTGTCATGACAATGCCGCCCATCCACCTCTTACGACTGACAATATATTATCGTCAGTACTTAAATTCGATTTACATAGCCGGTAATTAGTTATATATTTTTATTATATTTATGATTATCTATAAACTTACTTGTCTATATTGTCTGGGTCAGGAGTCGGCAACATGCGGCTCTAAGTTTCACTAAATCCTCTTCCGCCTCACAAGCAAGGGCGAATCTAACGTTATGAACAAAATAGGCATATCCAAAACCCTAATAGAGTTATGACGTCACATTTTTATGGTTGGCCCACGTGGAACTACACTGTACTCTTGATCAAGCCGTCAGACATTTTGGTAAACATCTCCTTTACGTGCCTGTTTTATTGACCACAACGTATGAGTATTTGTAACCACAATCTTTTTTAAGGTCTGAATTCGCCCCTCACAAGGTTGCCGAACCCTGGTCCTGGTGTTTGATTTCCATATTACAAGGGCTTAAGTTATTTAGTTTGGTGTTTGAACGATGTGTTTGACCACTAATATTTATTTTTCTTTCTTTAGTGAATGGGAGGAGCTTGCACCAATGGGTATAGCCCGCATTCAACCAGGTGTGGCGACATTAGGAGGTCGCGTTTACGCTCTTGGCGGTGAACAAGGCAGTCAGATTTTAGCAAACGGAGAGGTTTATGATCCACAGGTAAATGCAGAACGAACGAGCATTTCTTTAAAGGTGCACTCTACAAAAGTATATGGACTTGTATTTGGTGAATTTTTTCGAGTACTGAGTTAATAAATCAAAAATAATAAGTTTTATACCACATAGTCCATCATCACCAGCCTATCAATGTTCCCATTGCTTCCCTATAGATGGAAAACGAAAAATTGGGAGAATACAACATATAGTCCATACACAATTACATATCAATGATAAACATATGTGAATAACCATTTTAGCTATTGGTTGTATAATTATGCTATAGTGTACATTTGAAATTGTATTTGCAGACTGATAAATGGTCGAACATATCACCTATGAAAGAAGCCCGTTGCGAATTCGGGCTGACTGGTTGGAACGGCAATCTGTACGCGTTCGGTGGGTGGGTGGGGTCCGATATGGGGGCGTCTGTGGAAGTATACGATCCCGTGAACGATGAATGGACGCTCACCGGTAGAATGCCGGAACCGAGGTTCGGAATGGGTGTCGTCACTTTCGAAGGTATTATGCTAAACTGTTATAAAATTTCATACAATTAGCTATTTGATAGTTAGAACAATAAACCGTTAAATACGTTAAAATCGTAATTTATATCTAAACTATATCTAATCTGAGGTATTTTTTGTTTTAAAATAAATTGCAATTAACTTGTGATTTATAACAAGAATCAAAACGAGCGGGAAACTTTTAGTTTAAACGTCATCGACTTTGTTACCACGTCATAGCTGACGTGACTGCTTGATTTCGCGAGACAATTTAAATTAATTAATAAAAATAAGTTTTTCCTTTATTTATAAAAATCAAGTAGCCAATTTTAATAAGTTTTTATTTTACTTGTCGTGGTATTTAGTATGTTAGTGTGGCTCAAATCTTGAAAGCGTTGTAAGGTCTATAACCCACTTCCCGGTTTCCGATAGAGCTAAAATTTCGCATACACATATAAATTGGATGACTATGCAATATTAATATAGAATGGTAGCCATCATGGCACTCGTGTAATTAAAAGAAGCAATTCAATCCCGTATGATTTACCTTTACAATGACTTTAGTCCGAAATAATATTTAGGCCCTAATGTATAACTGGAAGGCCATGGGAACTTTGTAATTAAATGGCGCAACCCCGTTAGAGTTTATTACTTATTTAATCTGCTTTGTGACAGCAAAACGTGGTTGAAATGTCTTATACCGTCATTCTTTAAACATTCTCTACGTAATTACTATTTGGCGAGCCCCCACTCCACAACTATTATCTCAGCCATTTCTTGCTAAATTGAAGTAAAAAAATACGTATCTAATATCTTTAACGAAGAAACCTGAAGAGAATGGAGCAAAGCCGTCAAAAACGACGAACGAACTCGAAAACAGGATCTGACATTAGGAATATGTATTTAGATTTGTCACGTTGACATAGGATATTCTGTTCATATTCTTGAATGAAATTGGCGTACTGGGTCTTTAAATCAAGATTTTTGCGAAATCTTTTTTCTCAATTGAAAAAACGTTTTTTGGCTAAAGTATAAGAGCCCTTTACAAGACCTTTTAAAAAAACCTACCCGTGGGAAGACGAGTAATATTAAATAAAAAATGTTATGCAAAAAACTAAGTTTTCAAAAATCCGCGACATCTGGTTTTGGCAGTCCTCGCGCTTGATGCTAACCTGACATTGCCTAAAGAATTCTGGAGAGACCGAAACAGGTGGAAATCTGAAGGTGCAAGGTCTGGATTATACGGAGGATGCATTAACACGTTTCATTACGCCGTAATAAAGAATCACAAATTAGTACACGGTTCATTAGGTTCCTTTCAGTGAGCTCATGAGGTACCGAAATATCCAACTATTTTTGTACCCATCTTTTTTCAAATGCGTTAAAACTGTTTTGTAGTCAATCCCAAGTCCTTCAGCTACGTCGTAACAAGTTCTATGTCGATCTTGCTCCACTTTTTCAAAAATGGCATCCATTTTATATAACAGGGAGACCGGAGCGACGTGCATTTTGACATTAAAATTTCCGGACTGAAAATGCTTGCATTTGTGCTACTTTCACAGAAACTGCACTTAGTTTATAAACGTCACAATTTTTTTTCGTAGCTTGCGTTGCATTTTGGTGTTGCGCGGGGATGTCAAGTTCCGAGCCAGGTGTCATGTTAACTCGAACGAGTAGTACATTGTTTGAGAGTAATGAACAAAAATCATAAAAAACCTTTAATCGGAATTTACGACGTTTTGTCATTAGACGGCAATAATATTATATGCCATTTGCCTAGGTCTTATTTACGTAGTGGGTGGATGTACGCACACATGGAGACATACAAGAGATCTTCTATGTTATCATCCGGCATCACGTAAATGGCACACTCTAACGCCGATGCGACACGCTCGCAGTCAAGCAGCCGCCGTGGTACTGGACAACTATCTGTATGTGATCGGCGGGAATGCGCCAGGCAGAACTGTACTCACGTCCGTTGAAAGATATAACTTTGACCGCGTAAGTAAACATACGTACTTCTTCATACTTATATTAGTCATAAATTATTATACAATAATCTCGGCGCGTAATCAATCTTGTAATTTTCGCCAGCCCAACTTTTCAACAACTTTTAAGACAAAAAATCGCACCTCTATTTAATCGTCTACCGTCTATTATTTTGTTCGATTGATTACACTATCATTATGTAGGAATTATGAAAAATAAATATAAATTTTGAATGCGGAAGCTCGTCTTTAACGTAACGCTTATAATAGCAGAAACGAATAGATAATAGTAGAGTATGACAGAAGTTGGCGTTTTGAGTTTTGGCGGCAGGAAATTTTGATAATTAAATTTATTTCTAGAGTTTAACTCATTATATGAATGATACGTTTATATCATGTATATCTATAAAATAAAAATATAAAAAAGATTACAAAATTAAATGAGGGTATGTAATTAAATATGTTAAAGAATACTACCTCACACAATAATATGTATAACTTACTGCTGCCGTATTATCGCTTTCCCTGTTTTGATATTAATAGGTGTATGTATATATTTATATATGTGTGTATGTATATGTTGTTAATGAATATATTTTTGCATCGCATTTATTTATTGTACATTTGCATGTGTATTTAGCACGAATTTTTTTTTTAGATATACTTTAAATAAATCATTAGTGAGCCTCAATGATAATATTGTTAACATTCACACCCCCATCTTCATTATTCATGTTATCTCTCTCCATCCACTGGTTGCCTGGAAGAAATCGCTTTAAGCGCTAAGGCCGCCAATTGTTACATAATAGTGTTAATTTACTATAAAATTTTGTAATCAATTGTGTAATGTGAACAATAAAGAGTTTTGTATTGTATTGTATTGTACTGTACTGTATTGTATTGTATTGTATTGTATTGTATTGTATTGTATTGTATTGTATTGTATTGTATTGTACTGTATTGTATTGTATGTAACAGGACACATGGGAGGAGGTGGCGAGTTTGAAAGAGGCACGGGCGGGTTGTGCTGCGGGGGCAGCGGAGGGAGCTCTAGTAGTAGCAGGTGGGGATAGCGAGAGTGGGGGAGAGCGAGCGTTCTACCGCGCTCGTACAACACTAGCTAGCGTAGAACTATACGATCCACGCGCTGACCATTGGAGACCGGGACCCGCTTTACCCCACTCGCGAGCGGAGGCCGGAGCCGCGCTACTATGACACGCGGTCGCTACTTAGGGCTCTTTCAGATACGCTGTGTGCGTGCATTTGTTATAATTGGATTACATGAAGGACCGGCTTCGTTAATTATGTATATTGCGTTTGTATTTTTGATGGAAAATGCTTAAAAAATACGAACCCGGGACCTTTAAAAACAACCGGGCAACTGCTCTGACCACTGAGCTGCTACCCAAGACCAAACAGGATTGGTAATTTTTTTTAATATTTGTAACTTTTTCGCTACTACAGAGCGTATTTTCATCAATCTTTAGGCAATCCACCCAAACAGCTGATAAAAATATTTTTACCAATATTTAAAACTGCATTTACAATTCTATACTGAAAAATATTCTTAGTGACAAAAAATCCACTTTGTCCCTGGCACTCTTGAGATGGGATTGTGTAAACATCAAATATAATATTCCGTAAGTATTGGAATTGGTATTTTTCCCCGTGTTCTTTTGAAATACTTATTTTGCACCTATACGTTTTGGAGACAATATACAGAAGCGGTAACTTTCTTAGGAACACCGCACAGTCGCCGCTTCTATTGTTTTTTGTACATTTATAACAAATTTCAGTTTGTCGACTACGCCAAAACATCCATTTTGTCTCTTCCGAATCGCGTGGAGATTTTAAGAAACTTAAGACCTCGCAACGATTATCTGCCCCGATACTTTGAGGCCGCTGTTTAGATAGGTAGTTGCGAAGAATTGGAATGTTTTGGCGTTTTCAAAAGTTTAAATTTGTGGATTCATTATTTTTCAATTTTGTTAATTCTAACATTTGTGAAACGAACCACTTTTTAATTTAGACAGATGATAGTACTTTTAAATAGAATTCGTAGTTCAGTACCTACATTAATAAATATATATTATATTATAAACGCATAAAATAAAACTTTTAACAGATTTGACAAACAAAATCAATGAATCTCGATTGTACGAACTTAAAGCCTGACACACCTGAGGACACAGCACAGAGCATCTCACTATTGCAACAAGGTCGAAAGTTAATTAAAAAAGCATTATAAATTATCAACAGAATTGTTTTAGCATCGAAGAGATCACCGAAGAAATGCGGCAGTTTGAGAGCTTATTTCTAAGTTTATAAAAGAGATAATGCTTTGATAGGTTAAAATTCCCTGTGGGTCGCTTGGCCAGATGTGTTTCGTAAACCATGCGTGCCTATCTGAATATCTGGGATCAATGGGCGCGCTATCTGGGATCAATGAGTAAAAGAAAAAGATAACTTTGTAAATTACCTACGAAAAAAATCCATTTAGACTTTGTTGTATCGAAAGGAAAAAATCGAAAAACGATTATTACGGCATCTGTTACTTACACCTCCATATATTTTGTGTTGGGTATTTAGAACTTACTTAGTTTTGAAATAAACGCTTAGGTTTTATCTATGAAACAAACGCATCCATGTATTTTCACATTTTCTATATAACTGTTGTCAGACCTAGGCGCCGGACGTCCATAGTCAACAGTGTGTATCATATCATTCAAACGAGTGTATAATTTCACAACCACACTTCAAATTAAGATCGCACGTGATTGAATGTAATTACTGCACACACGCAATCCGTCCGAAAGAGCCCTTAAGTATAATTCATATATATTAGGGGTTAAAGTATGAAATTGCCGTTTTATTGTAATAGGTTCCGTGAGTTGACATAGAATCTTCATGGTTTGAGGTTTTTGATAGAAACTTTTTCAAATTGTTTTTATGATGTTCTTCTTTTAAAAAACGTGAAACATTTGAATATAGACTTTCAATTGTTTTTGTTATTCAACTTCGACAAGAAATATGGATACTACGAAAATTCGAGTGATTTTTCAATACGAGTTCCGACGCGGAAGTAACGCGACAGAAACAGCCCGCAATATCAATGTTGCGTTTGGAGAGGGGTCTGCTAATGAACGGATCGTGCGATTTTGGTTTAAACGCTTTCGTGATGGAAACTTCGACTTGGAGAACGACCCACAAGGAAGACCGCCCACACAGGGGAATAACGATGAATTAAGAGAGTTGGTGGGAGCCGATCCTAGTCAAACTTCCCCAGGAATTAGCGGCATATTTTAACGTTACCTTACCCATAATATTGATTCATTTGCGTCAAATCAATAAAATAAAATACGAAAAGTGCGTGCCTCATGATTTCACTGATCTGCAGAAAGAAACGCGTGTTGAAATTTGTGTTGCCTTATTGAATCGCTGCAGAAATGAAGGAATATTGGATCGAATTGTGACATGTGATGAAAAGTGGATTCTTTATGATAACCGTAAAAAAAAAGCAATGGCTGACCCCAGGTGAAACGCTACAACAGTGTCCTAAAGCAAAACTTACCAATAAAAAGGTAATGGTAACTGTTTGGTGGTCTCAGCATGGTGTTCAAGCAATAACAGCAGATGTCTATTGTGCCGAACTCCGAACAATGTTGGCAAAACTAGCAGTAAAACAGCCCCAACTCATGAATCGATCTTCACCATTATTGCTCCATGACAACGCGAGACCTCATACAGCACGAGAAACCATTTTGACCCTTCAGGAACTGCAGTTAGAAACCATTCGTCATCCTCTGTATTTGCCAGACCTTGCTACAACGGACTACCATTTTTTTCGTGATTTGGATAATTATATACGAGACAAGTTTTCTTCCTAGTAGGCAGTGCAAAATGCTTTCACACAGTTTGTACAGTCTAGATCCTCAGAATTAGTTAGTAGAACTGTTTAGCATTCCATTAATTTTGCCATTGTAATATAATTAAACTGGAAGTAAAACTTACTTTAGTAGCTTGATACAGTTGAATAAATGTGTACGCATTTCCACTGACGCCGTGACAAAGGCTGTAACCTTTCGTACACAATCCTCTTTGCCATACTACATCACCGCACTGTAGAGCAATTTTCATGTATCTCTCCTCCTCAAATATCTGAAAACCGAATTTCAGAAAATTGAATTATAATCCTACAGTAACATAAATCTCATGTGCGGCAAATGTCGGCCAACCAGAAGGAATCAAGTATCACGCCATAAAGCGATCCACCAATATATACGCGGCTGATCCCAACTAGCTGTGAGTAAAAAACGACACTTGATGCTTTGTATTTTACACCTTGTTATTATTAAAACAAAACTCACTATTAATTTTAATAGTACGTTCGATCATCGTCGGAATCGGTAAATCTGTTTTGGCAATCAGAGATTCACCATTCGCAACATCCCTTGTAACTTACTGTAGCTAAGCATCATAATTTATAGACTGCTGTCTACACATTACTTCATATTGTAGGTATCAATTTCTGGTGCCGATAAAGAAGTCACAGTGATCGGAACATTAGATCTACGAATCTTAGTCTTAGTACTTCAGAAGACTTTAAGAAACGACACCTAATGCTATGTATTTTACACCTTGTGATTATTTAAACAAAACTCACTAATAATTTTAATAGTAATCGTAAGATCGTTCATCATCGGAATCGGTAGATCTGTTTTTGCAATCAGAAATTCACCATTCGCAACATCACTTGAAACTTCTGTAGCTAAGCATCATATAACCGCAATCGACAAGGCGCGACGCATCTTCGGCCGAGCGTACTGACGGAAGTATGTGTGAGTAAGCTATCTAATCTATAGTATAGACTATTATTGATTAAGCGTCAGCTAAAATGTTTTAATTTCCACGAAAATATTTGTCAGTTCACAATGGATGTTCACAACGTTACGCAATGGATGTTCCGTTGGATATGCATTGACTAGACTAAGGAGTAATATATTATAGGTATTAGTATGATAGGATAATGTGTAGTATAGTATGATAACTAAAGAGCCATAAAATTAGTATAGTATAATAATACCTGAGAGGCAAGAAGACAAAGAGGCACAAAACCAGGAGCTCCGTGACACCATTGTACCAGTCTGTCTTTGGAACTGCTGCCGATAGAAGAAGGGAAGTTGCCGCTCGCGTAACGTTGGCTCAATAGCCAATCAATAGCTGGTTTTATAAAACTACGAATGTCTATAACACTAATGTATCTCCGAGCCTGGAATAAAACTAAACAGTAACTAAAACATTTAATATAGTTACCTATTCAATCTTTTCAACCATACTAATTAATTGTTTGCATCGAATAGGCTCATAAACTAGTGAATCGATTTTAAAACCTTTCACCGACGCTATGACATACGTTACAATTTACGCAAGTAAAGTCGCAAGAAAACAGCTATTATGTAGATATATAGTCCTATATCGTATTTAACCAAAATTACTGTAATAAAGATATCATCAAGTGCTACGATAGAAACAGTTACTTTAATAAGTACTCTCGTTAACCTACCTGTAATAAAATATACAGGATGCCAGCCATACCATGAGCTGCCCCTAAATAAATTTTGTCATGCCACTGCCACAAAAGAGGGCTCTCAGATTTCATTTGGGTTGCAAATTGTTTACCGGACTTTAATATGGCACTAATGACCTGGAATATAATGTAAAATGAACATCGCGTCAACTTATACAAATCTGTAGAGTATAAAATCAAATTGAGAAATTTGACATACTGCGGTAACCTGACATGACGTGCAGCTGTGTGTGGTTAGATAATTAATAACAGTATTTTTTACGCGAATTAGAGAGCGTAGATTCTGTTTCTAGCATCTGTCTAAAGGGGTTTAGCAATTCGATAAAGTCGCGTAATGCGTAGACATGATAAAAAACGACGACCTCCGTAGCTAAATGACTAGCCCGCCGGCATTTCCGCTTTAATTGACTATAAAATAGGAAATACTACAAAAAGCCAAATATCTCTAATCGATTTTACGCCTTTCAGCCTTTTTTGGTACCTAACCTAATTTATTGGTGTGTATAAGGTACTTAGATCATCCTTTTCATCGAATGGTGAAATTTTGTTATTGGTTCAGACGCAAACAAATAACTTTCAAAACCAACGCCTCGTATCGGCATAGGGATGACTTTTTACTAGAGATGCGCCGAATAGTGGGTTCACCGAATACTATACAATATTCGGTTTAAACTTAACCGAACCGGATATTCAGCCGAATTATTCGGTTCACCATTTCATTGTCTTTATTTAACCAGTGTGTATAGCGAATGATTATTTCGGGGGCAAGCAACCTATATGAAGAATTTGGTGTTTCTGTAACATAATTTACAGAATACACTGTTGAACAAATAACCGAAACCATGAAAGCCTCCTATGAGGAAACTTGTCCCCTGAAGATCAAAAGGGACAACAAGATACCATGGTGAAATATCAAACTTAGTAAACTGAGACAAGATACGCGTAAACTATTCAATAAGACAAAAACGACCGGAAACTGGGATCGATATTCTAATGACTTAACCGCTTACAACAAAGATATAAGAAAAGCAAAAAGGCTATCGTGGAGAAAGTTCTGCGAGTAAATTAACAAAATATCTCAAGGAGAATCCATAAAGTCTTAGCTAAATCAACTGGGACTAATAAAAAAACCAGATGGAACCTTTACTGAAAATGCGGAAGAACACAACCAAATGAATCGAAGCAATGCTTAGCTTGAAAACTGAATAGCTTGCAAAGAACAGCATGACTCACTAGTAATGACCACAGACGTCTTGACTCCGCTTTGTAACTTTGAAAGTAATTACTCAGTGGAGACACCGAGCAGAGAGAAATAGTCAGAGGCACACGAACTCTGCAAAAAAGGAAGCCTAGTATGGTTCACAGATGGCTCCAAAATGGGTCATAATCTAGGATGTGGAGGATATGGTGTAAGACCGAAATTCAACAAAAGTATGAATCTTGAGATAAACGCTACTTTTTCCTGGCTGAAGTGTACGCCATTTTAGAATGTGTGAAGCTAATCGCCAAGAAAACGACAGAAATCAGACCTCCATGAACAGCATAGCCATTATAACAACAAATAATAACATCTTTTACCATTAATTCTTTGCTAAGTATTATAAATGTTTCTTTTTGCTTATTTTTTTTTTTCTGATTTCAATTATATTTTTTATAACAACTCTCTGTCTCTATATATCTGTCATAGTGTCTATTTTTGGTAATTTGGCCCTTAAATGTATTCATTAACAATTTGAAATGCCGATTTTAAAAATGTCGACTATAGGATATTTATGATTTCATAGGATTTCTTTGACTTTGAATAAACGTAAATCTTACAAAAGAAGTTTTGTTTTTTAGTTCCATACAGTGTTGTGTAACCAAGAAAATATAAATACTCGAACCGAATATATTATATATATTCGGTACCAAAACCGTATAATTAGGCCGAACCGAATATATTGTATATAATCGGTACCAACTAACAACATAAATTACAATTATTTTTATACTTGGTGTAGGTATTGGGCAATAAAACGAAATAGAAAAGATTCAAGGGTTTATTATATATTTATTTATTCATAGATACGTTGCACCAGCTTACACTTATTTAACCTATCGCCATGCAAGCTATTTACAAAAATTATCAATAGAAATATTTGGTCCAGAAGTACTTGCAGAAGGCAGACTAAAAAACTTGTTAATTTTGGGCAATTTTTGTTTACTTTCTCCTCTTTCTTGGCGTTGTTTGCGTTTAAATGCACCACTGGGTTTCTTTTTTTTTGTCCATAATATTAGTTTTCTAATTTATTTATGCAATATTTATGTAAGACTGTACTCAGGTAGATACTCACTGTTCACTGACAACGTTACAAGTAAAAGAAAAGGAAATGTAATGATACGATACAAGACGTCGTTGGGGAATCCCCGTCAAACATTTTATCGCCGCCAGTGTTACCACATTTGACGGTTTGACGGACTACAAACCGTATAATTCGGCCGAATACAAATAGTGAAGGTGCCGAATACGCTGAATACCGTATACCAAACGAATATTCGGCGCTTCTCTATTTTTTACCCGTTACTCTGATATCAGCTGGAAAGATTTGAACCCAATGCAAATTAATGCAAATTCGGGTGAAATCTTATAGCCCAATAAATTCATGTACTATATAGATATATAACTCTTTATTGTTAACAATACACTATTTACAGAAACAAACATAAATTAAACTTAATTAATATGCAACCAATTGGCGGCCTTATTGCTTAAAGCGATTTCTTTCAGGTGCTATCTTTCAGGACTATGTTGATGACCATGAAAGTTTAAAATAACACATTGCTATCTAATGTTCAAATCAGACATCAAAAGCAAAGGAGAAATTAAAAGAATATGATTTGAACTAAAGAATAATCAATGTAATTGCCTGAATTTTTCAGAAGTCACACAAATGAAGTCAACGGCAGAAATAAAGTATTTGACAACATTAAAATAATATTTAAATGTAAAATATAATGTAACTGACCTTTTCAATGTGAGCTGAGGGTATTACTTCCTTTCCACTTATACACTTGTTAACAAACAGCAAAGAATAAAGATACCCTGCTTTTCCATATAACAATTCATCTGGTGAGTTATCTAATAACGATATTAGACTCATAAGTCTGTAATAATTATTTTGCTTCAAAATAATGGACAATATTATTAAATAAAGTTGTATTATTTTTAAACCATATTCATGAACATTTCTGTCACGAACATTTGAACTCTGATTAATAGAATCAGATGTTATAATTGCAGAAGTCAATTATTGTAACTGTATAACTATTATATCTAGCAACTTTCACATCCTTCACTGAGCACCGTCAATAGTTGTTCAACAACAAGTCATGAGAATGCTCCATGAAGAACCAAACAGCACAGCTGGCATACCCATCCATATAGGCATACTAGGCAACTGCCTAGGACACTTGTTATTTCCATGGCAAACAGATCATGTGTGCTCTAATTATTTGGATCTTAAAAATGATAAAGAATGATGATTATGGATTTGACAGCAGTTAGTCATTTATGCCAAATTTTATCCACAATGTAAAACTAATAAATTAAAACGAAATATCGACATAACATCACTAAGATGTCATATCCAACGGCTAGAGAGTTAGGCTGTTGCATGCCAGGTCTTGTAGATACTGATTGGGTGTGAGGGTTGGTAGATATCATACTTTCAGTAATAAAATGTATTACATGGAGATCATATTACACACTTACCTTTGTGCTAAAGTTTTGTAATCAGGTAGAGAATCTGGGCGTTTCGTACTAAGCTTATAGGATATCACAGTAGCCAATGCAATTGGACCAGCATCCCCACACAGAAAACTAATACGACGTCCTTTCAGATTATCTAGATCAATATACTGTAATGCAGTCTAAAAATTTCAAATCGATTATAACTTTTACAAAGCCCAATGTACAACAAGCCTAGAATATTAGATATTTTTGATCCTCTGTAAATTATAAAGTATTGTGCAAGTGTTAAAACTAAATATGAATTACAACAATAGATTTCAGTATTTTCACAAAGTGTTTCAAAGTATCTGTCCCCACTCATTAAGGCCCTGAATCCTTTCATACAGGCAAAATAAACAACTGCCTAAGCACTTGTATTTGGGAGTGTAATCGAACCTTAAAAATGCAATACCTAAGAATTTATGTTCTTTCAACATGAATCCATGTCCACGATATTTAAAATTAATAAATTCTCAGACCAGCTATACGTAAGGACTTTCTTTTCACATTGGGAATTTTACAATCTATAATTGATATTTATGTATTACATTAGCCTTATTCTGTTAAGTTTTTTTATAGGTGTTGCTCCAGTGTTTTGCCTGAAGAGCCGTATTTCATTGAGCCGGCACTGCCCAGATCTATAATATATTTCCAACCAGGGCAAAAACTTGATAGTATAATAATACTTTACCTTCAGCATGTCATGGTTAATATCATTTTTTGTCCAGGAATTAATATAATATAATGCCAATCCAGCAGAACCAGTGTAAACAGTTTGATCATAAAATATATCATCTTCCATTTCAGTAGTAAGCAGTTGCAGCTTATTCAATTTAAAATTTTGTAATTTTAACTGGAACTTTTCAGATATCTGAAACACAATAAAAAATTGTTTATGTATACAATGACGGAATATGGAAAAAGGAAAACATCTTTTAAAAAAGGAGTGAAATCATATTCCTGCCCACTTTGAATGCGCTATAATTAGGAGTTAGGATTTGTACAAGAGAAGAAGCTTTCTAGGGTAGCTACATCACAGAACGCCGCGAATTGTTGCAGCATTAAGATTGGAAGCAGGGCCAGATCAAGGGGGGAACAAGTCAAGGCACTTGGCCCAAGCTCCCCTGGCCCCTCATGAGTGTAGTAATAATTAGTCAGTATTTCTTTATAGTGGTTCGTTATAATGTTAAAGGCAATAATTTGAAGTTAAATAAAATGAAATCAATATTGTACTATTTTAACTTACCCCATCCTTTAACTCATTAAGAATATGATTTGTGCTTTCCAGATTAAACTCTTCAAACTGATTTTCAAAGGATCCTTTAGATGTCATTTTTTTTAAATCATTTAAATATTTTTCATTGATCAGAAATATTGGAAAATATTTACTATTTGAAAAAAGAAATGATATATTTTTTCTTGTATGTAACGTAACCAAAGATAATTTAATTTATTTGACTACAAATTTCCAATTTGTATCCAACAACAACAAAAAGTTTAATTTATTTATATGCTAAGTTTACAAACATACTCCTTGTATTTTTTAAATTACTATGAGATGGGAGAGTTTTTTTTTAAAGGTTTTACCAGCCCTGGCTTCTATGACCTTCAGAGTCTATGGGTTATATTCACAGAACAATAATACATTATATTACTCTTTGATGAGTATGAAACTTAGAAAAATAGTACTCCTAACTCTTCAGAGATGTTTTGTTTGCACAAGTCACTTTCAATGCACGTTGGTGGCGTTTACATAAGACATCGTTTCGTGTTTCTTTAAATAAACGTGCAAATAACTTGTGCTTTCGAAATTAAGACTTTAAAAAACTATGATCAGTTATTAAATCTTATATTCATAATTAAATCATCTTCATAAACATTCAGCAATCAACAAGAAACGTCTTTTCTAAACGAACAGCAAGGTCATAACATTAATTTCAAAATCACAAAGACACGTACAGTTTCATACTATTGCTACTGATCTTGCATGTCAATAGCGGACGTCGAGCCATGTGTTAATTCGTACGGTGGGTATGTGCTTTTTGGTTCTTACAATAATATTGTTAATAATGTTGGAACTATTTAATTTACACATCAACCTTCTTTCATATATTTTTGATAGGCCACTTTGTTTTTCTCTTTATATTCTTTGTCATTGTCAGTTTGATACTTCTGTTTAAATATTTGTCAATTGTCAAAATACATAAGTCTATTTTCTACAACTTATTATTTTATTTGGAGTTCAGAGAATACCTTTTTAAAGGCAATAAGTTCCTTTTAATAATATATTGACTTCCTGCACAACCTACTCTAGAAATCAGTTTCATTAAAATATATTATTTACTAAGTACCTAGAGTAGTCATGCTCTCTTAAAATCTCTGCGGTGGTGTGCGTATGGTGTGCGTATGGTGTGCGTTAGGTCGTTACGTTATCTCAAATATAGTATAGTTGAAATTAAAAAAGCAGCCCTTGCTGAGTTCTTGCGGATTCTTTACAGTACTAGATCTTCCGCCTTAGCTTTGCGAACCATTGGCAAAGTTTTCGACTGTCACAAGTACTTTGTAACAGCCTAGGCTGAATTGATTTTGATATTTATATTAATATCATTCGTTTTATGGATGCATAATGAATGACACATACAAATACAAGCTGAATTCTGCGCTCCGCTTTTTGTTCTTCATTCCAAACCTGAATTCGGATGAAAGTTACAAGCAACCAATAAGTTGGCTCATCACTAATGTTGAAGTATAAACTAAACATCGTTCCTTTACACGTAATATAATAAACAACTTAAAATAAATATAAATTAATTTGAAAGTTAGATATTATAAGAAACACATAACGATGTCATATTTATTAATTTTTTTTTTCTATATGGACTTGTTCCGTTATACACGGAAATTTTGCCACATCCCGTAATGAGAGAGACACGTGATTTCGATACTCAATTTACTTATATTACGTCAGAAACGATATTTGAATTAATAGCATAAACAAAATCTAAACATTGTGAGTGACATTTAGTATGATTTCAAGAATTAATTTTTATTTTTTAAATACTTTCTCATTGACATTTAAATCCTACAATTTTTGCTGCAATCTAGTGACATTTTTTTTGTAATTTCTTTATTTTTTTGAACACTTCGTCATTAACTTAACACCAGGCTCAAAACTCTTTACTCCCCGTGCTACCTTGTACGTCGTCCCGCCGTCGCCATGCCAGTTTAGTAGCATCAGTATAATAACTATTACGTGTATTTGTGATTTTGAAATTGAAAGTATTCTGCTGTTCGTTTCAAACTAGCGTTTTAATTGTTCTTTTTATTAACATAAAACTAATTACGAAGATAATATTTATTTTTGTATATAAAATATATTCTTCAGTTTGAAATGACAAATTATGGCATTCAGAACAATGAGTTTAATAACTAGAGACGCAATTTCATGGGTGAATCTTAGTTCGGAATATATTTTTGTCGATTTTATTGAAAAAAAGGAAATCTTGGGGCACAACAATAATTTTTTTCCAAAATAATTTCTGGATGAATGTAGTTGAAATTGATGAAAGAGGCACCATTGTGAGGTTAATAGTTTCGAAGATAAATCAAATTAAAAAAAAACACTGTTAAGGATAATGACAATGTGTGGAAGTTAATGATTTAAGGAAGAGGAAAAATGACGACCAATATAAATAATGATTTTGTGTTGTTTTTATAATTTTTATGAAATAAAACAATTCGACTAGAAATCAACAAAATAGTTTAATCATAACATCCCAGATTATATAACACTTTTTATAATTTTAGACGCTTTTATTTATATATTATTCATTTAAAAATTAAATTATTTTAGTCATTATAATGTCTAAAATAATATAATAATTAGGGTTAGTTGCACCTGCACAATTTTAACTTTAACCAATAATTTGTAGAATGCGTGTCATGGCAAAGACAACCATAAAGGTAAAAACTATATAAAATATAGTACCACAAAGGTAATTCTAGGTAATAATGAACATTTCTTGTAAAAAATGGTAAATATAACCAGTCAAATGTTTTGGTGTAACTCAGTCTTAAATTTTTATATCAAATTTACTGTTTTTTTTTAATACATCAATCACATAATATACCTACTTAGTACTTACAACACATTCATCATCATCGTCATCATCAGCCGGAAGACGTCCACTGCTGAACATAGGCCTCCCCTTTTGAACGCCACGACGGACGACATTGCGCCAGCTGCATCCAGTGGCCGCCCGCGACTCGGACGATGTCGTCCGTCCATCTAGTCGGGGGTCGACCCACGCTGCGTCTTCCGGTTCGTGGTCTCCACTCGAGAACCTTTCGTCCCCATCGGTTATCGGTTCGTCGAGCGATGTGGCCTGCCCACTGCCACTTCAGCTTACAAACTTTGCGAGCTATGTCAGTCACTCTAGTTCTTTGGCGAATATCCACGTTTCGGATCCTACCGGGCAAAGAAACCCCTAACATAGCTCTCTCCATGCCTCGCTGACCGACTCTGAGCTTCTCTAAGAGGCCAGCATTTAAGGACCACGTTTCAATGCCATAGGTCATCACTGGCAACACACACTGGTTATACACCTTCGTCTTTAGGCACTGTGGTAATTTGGACGTGAAGATATCGCGTAGCTTCCCGAACGCTGCCCAGCCGAGTTGGATTATTCGAGCGACCTCTTTGTCGAAATTGGATCTACCTAACTGGATTGTCTGTCCAAGGTACACGTAGTGATCGACAACTTCGAGAGTATCAGTTCCATTGACCATCGGGTGCAACATGGACATTCGACATGATTTTCGTCTTGTTCGTGTTCATTTTAAGACCCACCTGTTTGGAAACGATACTCAGGTCGCTGAGCATTGTACTGATGTGCTCCATCGATCTTGCCAAGATGACTATATCATCGGCGAAACGAAGGTGAGTGATGTATTCGCCATTGATGTTGATGCCGTATTCGTCCCATTCCAAGAGCTTGAACAGTTTCGGAAAAATGACATCTCCCTGTCTCACGCCTCTGCGCAATTGGATTGGTTTCGTGCTCTCTTCCTGATAGCGAATCGACATTGTGGCGTTGCTATACAAATGCTTCAACACTTCGACGTACCTGTAGTCGATTTGGCATCGCTGAAGGGACTGCAGTACTGCCCAGGTTTCGATTGAATCGAAGGCTTTCTCATTTTTTATTTTCATTTTTCTACACATACCTCTTCTTATATTCATTATAGCGTATTCTTCTTACCACCGCCTTGATAGCAGGAGACATTTGATGCAATGGATCATGTTGTCTCTCTGTCTTGATCTGTCCCTCTATCTTAACACCATCGGTTTTATCTTCTTCTGCAGCTTCTATTAAAACTGGTTCAAATGGAGGCATCGCTGTCGTTTCTTCTTGTTTATTCATTTGTCTGTACCTATTGTAGACATAAAACGCTATTATCCATGGAAATAGAGAATTTCAAATATGACTAAGAAAACATTTAGATAGATAGACAGATAGATAACACTTAGTACGTACTTTTTGGAATTTTTCTTCCATTTCTTTCTTTGCTCACGTTGAGCTCGTGGAGTGCGTTCCTTTATAGATTTGATTTTACCTTCTTCCTTTCTTTCTTATACTTATTACGCCTTTTCTCTTGTTCAGTTGTTAATAACTCGGGATTATTTTTTATTTCTAAGTATTTTCTCTTTTTACACAGTCGTTGTTGTGCTCGACGATGTTCTTCTGTAGCTTTTTTGTTTATTGGTGGCATTTTGAAAGACGCCTTTAAAGAAAATCTCATGGCTTAAAAAAAATACATTTAAAATGTAATAAAAACTACATGAAGAAAAAGAAGTACACAAAACCATAAGTCTAAAAATCGTAACGTCTCAAATAGGGACTTAGCTTTATTAACATACTTACTTAAATATAAATATCTTGAACAATATGTAACTAAAATGAAGTGAATCTCTTTTAATTCATGAAAAATGGGGTCATCATCAAAAAATCATTATCCTCAATAACTGTCATTATTAGAAACGGAACAAATCAATATATTCCCTATTTATCATTATACGTAACACACATTTTGAAGCAAATGATATTGGCGAAAATGACGAATCCCAGAAAATTGGCTAAAACCTGTTGAAACTAAATAAATTCTGCTTTAAACCACATTGATATGAATAATTTCACATTCGATACGTAATAGCAGCAAACAAGTTGATTAACGTGATAATCATCTGCTACATCAGAGAGCAAAAGTATAATGACTTTTTTCATGACAAATTTGTAAGAACGAAATGTAAACTTACCTCGTCGACAAACACGTCACGTCCACTCCGTTCAAAGCTCGCAGCTCGTCTGAGAGAGGTGCGGGGAAAGTATCGCGGGCTTTGATTCAACGTGAATTTGAAAATTCACCGAAAATTTACGAAACCATCCTTCCTGAATTTAATGATTTTTTTAATGACAATTTTAAAGTGGGTTCGTTTCCTATATTAAAATAAAACAAATGTATGTAATTTACGATGATTAGAAAGTTTGAACATTTGAGGACGAATTGGCATATAGAAATAAGATGTTCAGGTTTGAATGATTTTTTTATCAGACATAACATCCACGCGCAGCCACATGGGACATACATACGAGATAATGACGTCTGAGGCACATTTTGACTTAAATTTCTAATGGAACTATCTTTAGTATTTTTCTTTAGTGTGTAAATAGTTGTGCTAGTATTTCAAAATATCTAAAAACTTGTTGCTATTAATTATGATTTGATTAGGAAGAAGTATTGGGATTGGACAGGTTTTATCCTCACTTTTTAAGAATCACCCTCATACAACAGACACGCCAAAAAGCGTAGCACTTTTCCGAAATCAGGACGTAGCTTTGCAAATAATATTTATACTATATAATATAAATAGGTTTATTATATTTGTCTCTCTCATTTCTATGATTAAACCTTAAATTAAACAAAGACAGAATATGTGCGAAAGACAGAATGAACGGAAAAATGGGTAATTGATATTGTATTGCCAGCTCTTGAAAATTCACCTATTATGATGAATGAATGAATGAACAAATAATGTAGATATATGTATAAAATCAATTAGAAAAATACTGTATCTTTGAAAATTTATTTGAAAAAACTTTGAAAAAAAAACAATCACGAAAGTAGGCTATGTTCATATAAATCCCTTTGTTTTCGATAAAGTCAGTTACAAGAGAAAAACGTTTGTTAAAGTTAACAAAAGATCAAACAAAGGTTAAATTTTACGTATTTTCAAAAGTTTTAGCTCGACAACTAACGAATTCCACGCCTTGAAAAAATTGAATTAACTTTATAAAATTAAACAACTTTAGCATCTGTGTGCGTGTATGAAAAAATATCAACATAATTTGCACAGTTGCCTAAACTAAATCTGAGCCATATAATTCATTAAAAGATAGATATTTAGATAAATTATAGCCACGTAAAATAAAAAGAAAAGGCTCCCATATAGTGGGGAAAATTAAAAGTGAATAGCAATGGCAACACTGATGATAAAATGTCAAAATTTTATTTGTGAAAATTAAATATTTTTATTTTATAAACTAGCTTTAATTTTGATTTTATTGCCAAAAATGTTAATGACTTAAGTGTGAAACTTAATATTCTTTCGTATTATGTGTATTTGTGAAAGAGAATCGTATTTTATCCACTGTTTTTCTTTGTTTTTGCGGAGCATTTTTTTGTACTTTCTCGGCGGGAGTTGAATGAGTATTGAAATGAAAAACGAAAAAACTAAGACAAATGTCTTAGTTTTAGTAGCTTCACAGTTTGGGTATGTATTGCGTATCTAGACATATTAATATCATTGATTCAGAAATGGAACTCGAATCCATGACCTCAAGCTCACTGCTCTAACCACTGAGCTACCCAGAACCTAATAGGACTGACGATTTTTTCAAGCACTTATTACTTTTTCGCTACTACAGAGCGTATTTTGTTCTGATACGCTCGATGAAAATTTGTTCCATTCGTTTTATTTGATCAATTTTGGTAAACTGAAAATTATTCTTTATGAAAAATGCTTAAAAATAGCATTTTATTCTGGAATTTAATAAATGCAGTAAAAATGAATCGCCGAAATGTATGTATGTACGTGCAACGTCTGAACGACCGCACTAAATAGGATTCCTTTTTAAAGTGATGATTTTTGACGAAATAATCAACTTTTGGCAGATTGTCACCACAGTGACATTATTAATTTGATTTAGATTCATCTTTTATATATAAAAAGTTTACTGTTTACCTGGCCGGACGTAAAAAATATACCACTTTTGTGAATTACAAATAAATAGATTTTGCTTTAACGTGGTAATAAAAAATATAAAAAGGAAGTACTTATGTTAAAGATAAAAGTTTTTTTTTGCAAATAGTATCCAAATGTGAATATAAAAGTAACGTTTTAGATTGTGTAAGAAATACTTTAATAAATTGTTATTAGTTTTTTTATTTGCTACAAATAGTATCTATTAGATGCAACTAATTTTCTCGTGTTTTGAAATAGAAATAAGGAACATCTTCATTTCAAGCATAGAGTGGTCTGTGTTCTATATTTCGTTCTGTGTCTCGTTTTATTTCCGGTTTATATTCGCACCATAGATAATACATAAATACTGATTCACCAATTATTACATTATTTTTACATTATTTACCAAAATTTATATTTAAATTCTAATATTAATTTAGCTATGAGGCTTGCAATTTTCCAGATTATTACCTATTGAAAATAAGTTAAAATGCCATTTATTATCCTAGCAAATATTTTTTTGACATAATCTCTTCCTGTTGTCAAATGCATACAGTTGTCCTTTTCGCTGAGGTAGGGTTGGGGGAGGTGGAGAAAGGAGAGGAGCGCATGCGTTTGACAATTTTCGGCCATATTGTTATGACGCATTCAAGATCATAGGTCTCCGCCAGTGACGAGTCTTCTCACAGTTGACGTGGCTACTACGTACCATCCCGTTCGCCCACTCCGGACGCAGCATAGACGGTGACGAGGAATACGTAACTGGTGAGTGCTCGTACTGAAGACAAAACTTGCGACCTGTCACGGTCGCTGCTATTTGGGTATCCAAATTAAGGACAATACATGCAATAGTAGAAAATTCGCAGCTAACTATAGCATTATTCTTAGATTGAAAAATGTTGCGTATAATGTTAGACGCAATAAGAAAACCACCGACCCAAACACGACACATCAATGGTTTCGTAGTAAAATGCCTCGGTCTACAACGCGTTAATCAAACCTGATAATAGTAAGAATGATTATTTCTGGGCTATTGGAGCAATGAGCAAGAAATAAACAGCGAGTTGACCTTGAATATTTTAGGTGACCTTTGGGTATGGACGGAATGGTGGAGGAGAATGGAACATCTGGCGGAGCGGGATCAGGGGATCCACTTACGAGTGCTGGCCAAGCAACGGCGGGGTCGACTCCGCACGTCGTCGCTGTCACTAGCATCGTGCAACTCACGCTCCCGGCGCAGGCACCTTCAGCACAGGTGTTTGTTTATATCAGGAATTATAGTAGAAACTGCTTACATTAGTTTGTTTAATTGTTGAATTGGAAATAAATAAGTACGTTTTGTGAAGTGTAATTGTGATTTAACTTGATATTCCAATTACAGGTTCAATCTGTGATACAACCTAACCAACAATCTGTTATTCAAACTGCTTCAAATATACAGTCTGTCCAGTTACCAAAAGGGAATGTTATTCTTGTCAGCAAACCAAGTTCAGTTATACATACTACACAGGGAACTTTGCAGACATTACAGGTATTATGTTCTTTTGTTTGTAAACATTTGCTTTATTTGTTAGTAATTTTTTTACTTATGAATTTTAATACTGCTTTTAGATAAAACCGGAACCAAACACATTAATGAGTGCTCAAGGACAGTCATGCAGTGATGATAGTTGTAGTGATGATGAGGGTCCAAAAAGAAAATATCGGGAAATGCTAACTAGGCGTCCTTCCTACAGGAAAATTTTGAATGATCTCGGTGGAGCTGAAATTGCTGGTAAGTAATTATAGTAAGTTTGTTTAGACTATTAAACCAGTGTTTGTGTTAGTGTAATGGCAATATAAAGATTGTGCTTATGAAAAAAGGAAATTTTCAAATGTACTATATCTACAAAAAAAACACACAATAAGTACTTAATTTAATTTGTTAAATTTGTACCCTTGATGTCTGCTGGTACCAATGACCTATGTTTTTTTTATATAATGCTGTTGCTTTTAATAAATAATTATGTAAAACGCATGCAAGTTTAAACATATTTATTGAAAATAAAAGTATATATTAATATAAGTTTATCAAATTATAAAACCCTTAAGCAACATTTCATAATATATAGTTAATTTTTATAAATAAAAATGGAAAAACAATATTGAATTATCAATATGAAGGAAGCGGACATTGAAAATTTTGGTATCAAAATAAGAAATTGGACAGATTGAGACAGTATTAATGAATACAGTATATGAAATGATGATATTACAGACAATCGCATGGGAACTAAACCAGGATGTGAGAATGAAGTGTCGCTGTCATCTCCTTTGTCTTTTGCACCAGGTCAGTTGAATGTGCTGCTGCTGACACTTATTTGTTTGTGTGTCACTAACCTGTTTCATTCATGATTTTTGTACCCTGGTCAGCACATGGCTCATAACCACCAGCTTCAGTGACATCATCATTTTTTGTATCATTCTACTTATAATGAAATTTGTTTGAGAAACAAATTTTATTTTTGTACACAACTTGTATTGTTTCTTTTACTGTCCATTTTCAATTATTTTTCTGGTGTGCTATAGTGGTTGGGTTGGTAGTTTGTTTCATTATATAAATTATTGTGTGTATTAAAATAGAGTATACCTACTTATATCAATACAGTATAGAGAATATAATGTTTTTGAATCTCTTATTACAAGTAATTTAAGAACTATTCATGATAAAGTCATTATGTACTTTGTCTTTTTTATAAATTTTGATATTACGTCATAATTCAGTGAACTCAACTGATATTCTGCCCGCTGACGTAATCACGCGCGCGTGTTGCGATGACGTCATCCTTGGTGAACATGTTTTCGTACTTGTTTTGTTTGCAATTTATTTTCCTGTAACTTAACCCTTCTTTTAATTTATAATAAATAAATGTTAGTTTGATTTTTACTCACACTATGATTCATTGTATTGTATGTCTTCCTTATAACGACAGCAGCAGTCGCTTGGTCTTGTTCATAACAATAATATATTAGGGACTGCTTACTTACTACTCTTAGTACCTATTCACAGATTGTGATAAAGACTCGTAATTTTAGACACATTAAATCACAATTATTTTGTTGTTCTAATTAACGTGTGATTAACAGTGTAAAAAAAAACGTCCAAATGCAAGTCAGACTTGCGCATAAAGGGTTCTGTATCATTATCTACGCTAATTATTGTTTAAGGGGTGCCCCCTTTTTTATTTATTTTATTATGTCGTAGCAACAACAGAAATACATCATCTATGAAAATTTCAACTATCTAGCACTGATGAAATACAGCTGGTGATAGACAGTCTGACAGCGGTGTCTTGGTAGGGTCCTGTTTTTCCCCTTTGGGTATGAAACCCTAAAAATAGATACGTGTCAACAGCACATCATTTTTCTGAAATTAACCAAAAACATTAATCGATTTTGAGATAACATCTATTGGAGTTTTGTCTGGGATCATAAATATCAAGGTTTTTTTTTTTTATAATTATCAGATATCGAATATGATCCTTAGATTCTGGCAACAATTTTTTAATTCAGAAAGGCCTTCTTAATTGAATAAATTCTTATTTTCCTTGTTTATAAACAAAAAATTAAGTCTGAAATCGCATTAAATAAAATTTAGACAAATAAAAAAAAATCTTTGTTAAAAGTGGGCTTTTATTTATTTTTTTTTGCTTTTGCAAGTCCATCTCTATCTGAAAACCATATTTTATAGTTGTTAAAGGTTTATAATTACATTTTTATCGAATTTAGTACAATCCATAAGTTTTGTATGGTTGCGTTTAGAAGTGCGCGGTGCTAGAGGGTACTCGCCGCATATCAGAGTTGATTTATAACAAATTTATTGTCTATTGACGAGGTCACATCATCATTTCCTTTTTTAAATTATCGAAGCGGTGTTCTATTCTAGTATCTACGCTATTCTTGGGTCGTTGAAATAATGGTTTTCAGGATTTTGAAAAGAGCTTTTATTGGCCACTAACAATTTTTACGTTGAATACCATAAGTCAATTAGGTATATTTTTGTTAGCTATACTATATCTAATGAATTAAAATTTTACATATTTATAACAATAGGGGTGCAGAAAAAAAAAATTTCCCGCGAAAACGCCAACTCTTGTCATGGCGTCGATATGACGTCACGCCCCTGACGTTCCTCTGAAACTATGTATGCTTAGATATACATAAACAATTTTTTTATTACAATTACGTTTGTCATGTACAATAATGTATTAAAAACTTTTGATGGGTTTGCGCACAACATAGATAACAAAAAAGTAATTAAATTATTTTGACTTTGACTTTGACTTTCACTTGAGTCACGTTTCAGCAAGCCACACAAGCGGTTGTGAAGTAAATTGCGTTACCATTTATTTTCTCTCTCTCACCATACTACCTATTGGATTACACCTCTGAAGTTGTTCAAGAAACTTCTTTATTTAAAATTTTCGTTTGCAGATAAATACAAATATCGTTTGTTATCCAAAATAAATAAAGTTTTCCAGTTGAAAACCGCATTTAAGTCCGTTGTCCTTTTAAACTACAAAAGATCATAGCGTTCGTGTTGTGATTCGATTGTTTGCATCGAATAGGCACCGAAAATACTTGACCTGTTTTAAAAATATTTTCACCTACGGAAGCTTCATCATAAGAGCTATAATTTGCGCAGGCGAAGTCACCACAAAACAGCTTACGTTAAATAAATCTAGCGGTCTACGAGCGTCAAGGTTGGCTTCATGCAGTCTTCTGACCTTTTGTTCGATCACACGCAATTGGTGTTCTACCTGTCTTCTTTAGACTAATTGTCCTGCTAAAGATTTGGGTCTCTGCTGTGGGAAACACTTGCAAAACTTGGTCTTTCCTTGGAGTTGTGGTGCGACTTGGTCTAGGATGCCGCTCCGTCACCTCGGCTGGCTCTTGATAGCGTGACCACAAGCTTGAGAAATTCCTTGCTTTTTGCCTATTTCCTTCCGGGTAAAATGATTTTAAAATTATCTAAGTGTTATCATATAGATTGACTGACGAAAATACATAATTGCAAAGCTCAAAACTTGGACCACTATTTTTAGCTAGAATGCTATCATTTCTGTGTAGTGTGCAGTAATTGTTAATTTTATTCTACTACTACTCACTCTTATAGGTCTACCACGTAACTACACTCATGTGAGTCTCCTTGATGTTGGATTGAGTAAAATACACTTTAAAGTTCTATACTGTGCTGATCATTAAGTGCATTTGTTTCTACCCGGTGCAATGTATTAAACGTACACACTGTCTAAAAACAAATTATTGGACGTTAAATGAATTTTGAGTCAATCCAATTTGAAGGAGAAAGATGTAAGTTTAGCAAGGCGGAAGACAGTGGCGTAACTATACTGTTTGAGGCCCGTGGCAAATTAATCGGATATTGTATTTTTTTACTAATTGTGTAATAATAAATGTCAGAAATAAAGATTCTCTGACTGTGGGCCTGTGGCATTTTGCGGACTTGTCACCCTGAAGTTACGCCATTGGCGGAAGACCAGCAGGACAAATCTGCTAATGTTTAGGTAATCAAACGCATCACAATAGAATCTCAACTTGTATTTATTGAAGTGCAATGTCTTTCGAACACATCAATGGTGACAGATATAGGATAGTATTTGACTTCAGGTAGATAGTACAATGACAAAATGTAAGTAGTTGAGGTTCTCTTAAGATGCAATTGTTACGTTAAAAGAATTGGCCTGCTGCATCGCATTTCATTATTCGATTCTCTTTTTAAAATATTCTCTTGCCTATAGGATTTTATTTATTAATCTTTTAACGTTATAAACAGGAAAGATTTGATTGTGTAAATGTGGCACTGAATAGGCTCCGAACTGATTTTAAAAATTCTTTACACTCAAAAGCTGTTAAAAATAACTAATAAATAAGTAAGGATATGACATCACACCATAGACGACTGCCTTCTGAGGCGTTAAGGTGCATTTAAATAAGCGCGAAAACTATCCCGCTTAGGTACCCCGTCTTCGTTCATAGCAAATTTGAACTCAACTAGACTAAAATATACAATTTTTGCAACTATTACATTCGTATCTATAGTCGAGAGAAATAATTACTTGAGAAATTGGTCACTTAAGCAGATATTTTTAACGAATAGACGAGAATTTTAATGAAGTAAGGACTGTTAAAAGCTAATAGTAATATAAATTTTTTATTTATTTGTTTAGAATATTTGCTTATATAATTAATTTTCATCGACTATAATACGGGTGTTAGTACCGACGCGGTCGAGCCGAATAGGTTCTTGAGGGCGCATGTGCGAGTGCGTTAACGCATAATTGTTTTTATATTCATATTAAAATATCACGAAATTTAAATATGATTTAAATTCAACTTATATGATCATTTTCGTAAAATCATATTTTCCTTAAAGCTATACTTTCCGGAATGACACGTTAATTATCTGTAAAATATTAACAAATATCATGTTTTTATTATTCACATCATTCTTAAATTGATTTTAATATGAATTAATGTTAATATGAAAATGTGATTATACCAAAATCGTCAGGTAGGACTCCCAACTATTAAGCCACCCACACACAGCATTCATTTCTTCTCGGTTACCGAATCTATTTTCGCCTCACACCGCGGGCACTAGGCAGCTGCCGCGCTGTCTCTGTATCGTCACAAAATATGTACTTCTAATATAAGTCAGGCTTATGATAAAATTTGACTCCAAAGTGCTATGGCATAGCACAAAATATATATCTGGCAGTGTAACTTTATCACTTAATTATGCATAGCTTAAAAGAATATAAATTTAGCCATTTTTTGCTGCTGTATCCCAAACATAATCTGGTATTTGAGCAACGTTTTCAAATTTTCAATTAACCTAGAATTCCAGCTGTCAAATGTGTGTCAATGCTGGAATGGCCTACATCACTAAAAACACTTGTTGATTATATCTGACAATTTGCCCCTATTTTGTCACTGACTGATTATGGATTTATAACTCGAGAATCCATTTCGAAAATCCAATTGGATGGCGCTGCTGGACTGACGGACGCTGGAGCGGTTCTATGGTTGATGATTATTCTGTACATTATCCTTTATAAGAACTTATATATAGATCTTACATTGTGATATAATAATAACACAATCAATTTAAATGTTATTCTGTTTCTGATAACTAACACAGTGTTGTATTACTAGTAAAAGCCTTTCAGTGTTAGTTGTATATCCACATCTCGAAATATTTGAAAGCACAATCTTTATATTTTGTCATGATACTTATTTGTACAGATTGAATTCATAAACTTTGCGTTAAAATATTTAACTATTTATGGTTTTATTCAGTTATTCCAGCGGGAGCATTACAAACAGAGGGTGGCCTTCATACCCTGGCTGTGTCAGGAGCGGCCAGTGGAGGTGCGATTGTCCAGTATGCTACAAATCAAGATGCACAATTTTACGTGCCGGGTGAGTTGATTATGTTTACATAGTCTAAAAATATTCGCAAGATAGAAAAACTGTGTTCCGCCAGAGAAACGAATGAACCGTACTATGTTTGCAGGTCCTATGTTAGAAGATCAAACTCGTAAACGGGAATTACGATTGTTGAAAAATAGAGAAGCAGCGCGTGAATGTCGTCGTAAGAAAAAAGAATACATCAAATGTCTCGAGAATAGAGTAGCCGTACTTGAAAATCAAAATAAGGCATTAATAGAGGAACTTAAATCTCTGAAAGAGCTGTATTGTCAACAAAAAACGGAATGAGGCCCAGCCGGCTAACCGGGTGTGCCAGTGCCCCTCCGGTGAGAACCTTGGAAGCAAGCATGCGACAACTTTGTGCTCACGATCTACCTTCGGAATAATTCTGTAGGTACGCTCGATTCTCTATTGATCATCACTTCAAACTGAGGTGCTCTTAGTTTGAGATTGACATAGTCTAAGACTTCTACATGAGATCAATTAAAACTGGGTTATCGTAAAGTATTGTTAGTTTATTTGGTAAAACGTTACATTGTTAATAATGTTTTTTTATAATTTTCTGTTATTGTTTTAAAAACAGTTTGATTTTTTATATACAGAATTTAAATATAGATAATTGTACCTCTTTACAATGAAATCTTTTGAAATGCTTGAAGTAGTATGACTATATGGGTTATATAGGACTTACGTGTACCATTCCAAAATAATTTGTCCTACTCCTTAAAGCAGTGTTTTAAGCTATTCGAGTCCGACCTGCGTGCCATTTTCTGGATTGGTAATCTAATAGATGCACAGATTTTTTTCTTATGTGATTCTCACTTGTGTTTTCAATTATTTTTCTCAGTAATATTATTGTAAATAATTTAATTGTCTTTCCAAGATATTGTTCTATTCATTCACTTATTTTTATAAACCTAAATGTTTGGGAGTTAATAAAATTGACGTCATTTGTCTGTGATGAATGATATTGAAAATGACCTTTATTTATACAGTTTATTTACAGTGAATGCATTGTTAGTTAATTTGGGACACCGACAGCAGGGTGTTATTAATGGATAAGCCAAAGTTAATATTTAGTTGTTTTGTGCAATAGATTTATTGCAATGTACAGTTAAACTATGTTTGTCTGTCTTAAATGTAATAGAATGAAATAATATGTATATGTACTGTATATAGTAAAAGATAGTATTGTAAAGAATGTATGTATAAAAAGATTCAATGTATATATTAAATTTATGGGAAAAAAAAGTATGGTTGATGTTGCATATCACCCTTGAGAAATTTCATTTTTACAACACTATTGTGATAATAATTGGGACATGAAAATTATGTTTAAAGTAACAAATTCTTTAGTGAACCGAAACATCAGATATGATTTTTAATTTTTGAAATGGGTAATTTTAGTCAACTACCAGAATATATGTAAGTTTTACAATATTTATTTTGCCATGACTGAAGTGAATAATATCGCATGTAAATGTTTCCTTTCTTTCCCTAGTCACTACGGCGTGCCTCAATGAATAGTGTTATGGGAATCGCTCAATCAAAAGCACCTGTGCGAGATATGTCAAACGTGTCCATGTTTATAAAGTTTCGGAATTAAAGCAAGTCCTTCAGGCGTCGTCCGTTAATTATGCACTCATTTCCGTAATACGAAAGATTCTTATAGCGACTACTAATCAAGCTTTGCGGGTTTTTGTGATCTTATCAAAGAATTATCAAGACCCCTTGCGTCCTCCTTGTAAGGAAAAATAGATTCCACTAAATCAATGTATTAAATCTATAGCATCTTGTTTACTCGATAACAAAACAAGTGGATGTTTGGACTACTTATGTCGGAATAAACATATAATGAATTATTGTTTATTGACTTTAGTTTGTAAGTGATTTACAATTAGGTTTAGTTAGTTTCTGTGAAAGGTCTGCTTTTTCTATTTAATAGTGGCGCCTTTTTTGTTTCTCTTTTGTAGTGTGAAAATAAAATAATCTCATGGGAACAAAATGACGCTACTTATTGAACCACAGAGTGATGTCTAGGGAGCGAAGGGAGAATTTTATACCTTGAGTATATTTTTTTAATTTAAAGTAGCCTGACATTTAAATCACTCATGGCAAATATTTTTAAGGATTATTGATAGACATTGTCGAAAGTGCCTTTAAAATTAGAATGAATAAAGTTTATACCAAGATAGCTTTTATGTTAACTTAATGCTATTTATAAATAATAATAATATTAACTGTTTCATGTAAAGTGTTGTATTATTTTTCTGACCACTAAACATACCCATACCATTTAGTAGCCTGATTAAAGCGGAATACATCAGACAAAGTGCAACATAGTGCAATTTCACCACCAAAACATTTATGTAGATGTCAAAGCAAGATTAAAGCCGACTACATACTTGTTAAAGTTTAAGTTGACCATGCTCTACTCACGAATCGATCCAGTTCTGCGATTCTGTTAAAAATCCAGACCCAAATTCGTATTCACACAGCTGTCCGAGATCACGTCATTTATTGTAAAAAATTTATTAATTCCATTTTTAAATACAAAACAAAATTGAATGAATATACGTGTCTCAAATATTCTATTCCTATGTAATTTCGAAACTCACTTCACTTATGCCACGAAACGTTATTACCAATTTAAGGTTGAGCGATAGCAATATTACACCTTATGTATACAAGTAGATACATTTTAGAACACTAAACTAGCCTATTGCCGCTACTGAATACGATTCGGTTTGTAAAAAAAATCTATACTATAATAAAAACGTAACCGATCGATGTCTGTACATTGAAGATATATGAAAAAAACTGTTATGAGGGACATTTATAAGCGTAATACAACACAAAACAATGATTTTTAAATTTTTTGTCTGTTTGTCTGTGCGTTTGTGCACGATAATCTCAGAAACGGCTGAACCGATTGAAATGCAGTTTTCACTATTATATTGTGGTATTCTTCCGTTAACATTTAGTGTGAGATTTATTTCAATCGGTTCACAAATAAAAAAGTTATGTCAATTTGAAGTGACGTGGTCGCCAAAATTGCTATGAAATATTAACTATTTTATTAAATTTTCGTCTTTGATATATTTATCATCATCATTAACTCTTTGACAGTCAAACTGCAGGGCCTCAGGCCTTTGTTTAATAATTTTTGGTCACCCATCCCGTGAACAACTCTTGCGAAAATTGCTTAGCAATATCGATCGTGCGCAGCGGCGCTTATCCGTAGCGCCACCCAGCTACGAATTAATATTGTTTATAAAATGATAATTTGTATGATGAAAAATAAAAATAAAAAATCCAAAATTTTGACATCTCCAAAGTAAGTTGACCTCATTTATAAATGGCCAATGATATTAAATAGGCTTCAGGTTATAATGGACGTTGGTATACGATCACGCGAGTAGGAGAACAAGCAAAAAGAGCCTTCAGATGATGCAATTAAGCATCGAGTGATTTACAGTGAACGCATATTTTTATCACATTAGGTTCATGTCGTCGTCGGGGCTAGCGGAGGTGGTTGGCAACCCCCGCATTGCACGGTTTCGTCTGTCTGAGAAAGGCACTCGATTTACCCGAGCCTATCCAATATTCCATCTGCAAGGGGACCAATGTCAAGTCCAATACTTGAGTGTTCTGGTGACGCGGCCATAGCTTGCCGGGTTTCATCTCCCATGAGACGGTGTCATCATCATCATCATCAGCCCTTTTACGTTCCCACTACAGGGCCTAAGGCCTTCCTTATGGATGGTTAAGGAGGATGGGCCATGACCCTCCACACTGGCCCAATGCGGATAGGAGGGTATTAACGACTGCAAATGCAGCCGGGACCAACGGCTTAACGTGCCTTCCGAAGCACGGAGTAGCTCGAGATACTAATTTTTTGGTCACCCATCACGTGACTGGCCCTTGCGAAAGTTGCTTAACGACAATGATCGCGGGCCACGGCGCTTATCCACTACGCCACCGAGGGCAGTTCCCTATCGGGTTCACGGAGGAGAATCCTACTCACCCCCTGTTGCTTGCCACGTAGCAGAGACAATGTCAGAAGCTTTTCCACGACGTTAAAAAAGTTAGATTCACGTCAACTGAAGTTAAGAAGGTAAAGACAACTCGATTGATATATATATTTTTTTGTCTTATTACAATTTTTTATGTAATAATAATACTACTTTGATTTTTTTAACATACAAATTTGCTGTAGATACGTTCATCGAAGTTAGTATTTTCAGTCTTCGCCGGAAACAATGGTTTATTCATTTGTCACAACACATATAATATAACGCGAGTCTGAGGATTGGTTCAGAGTAGCTTGGTGGTGTAGTGAATAAACGCCATGGCTCGCGATTGTAGTTGTTAAGAAACTTTCACAAAGGTCGGTCACAGGAAGGGTGACCAAAAAATATTATCTCAAGCAACTCCAAGCTTTGTAAGGCACGTAAAGCGATTGGTCCTGGTTGTATTTGCAGTCGTTGAAATCCTCAAATTCGCATTGGGCCCTCATGGAAGGTGGTGGCCCATCCTCCTTAATCCAAAAGGCTCCTGCAGTTGATGACGTAAAAGGGCTGATGATGATGATGAGGGCCGTTCAAATCTGACGGAAGCTCAGTTAAGCACCTCTCGGAAGTACGTGTTAGTACACGATTTCCTTCGAGTGTGGAAAGTCGAAATTAAAACGTATATATTTTTTTATATCATTAATAAATAAAACTCTACGTATCTTCCGTCAGACATGTACCGACCGTCTTTTATTTACAAAGAAAGAGATTGGACGAAATGCGTTCGGTCTAGGAAAACACCTGAATAACGCGAAGCGTATTTAACTACCCATCGCGAGGCTCATGCTCTATAAAGTTGAATCTGAAGCATTTACCGTCAGGGACATTCTCTTGAGCTCTGGGAAAACTCATACAACAAGCGTTTGATCTCAGAAAACTTCTGAAGATCGCATAGCGCGCCTAACTGCTAACCGTAACATAGATGCAGTATGGTATGAGTATGAAACTTCCTTTGACAGAGAAATGCGCTTGGACTCTGAAAGAGCTCGCAGTTTGTGCAAGAGAGATCGAGAAAGTAGTTTCGATTATCGCCAACCCGTGTTGCCTTCATACTCCACAGACGTACCGCAGATAAGTTTTCACAAGGTATAATGAACTAGCTGTGTTCCCGCAACTTTGCCGCAAAATTATAGCCTATGACATCCGTGATGTAGCTTCCCGTAGGTAGAATCTCTCTGAAACTATCGGTCCAGTAGTTTTGGGGCAAATTCGATGCAAACAAACAAACAACCAAATCTTTCCCCTTTATAATATTGTATAAGTATATCTTAGGTATAAGAGATCCGATGGCGTAGTGGGTTAGCGCATTCGGTTTAAATTGCAGTGAAATAAACGAGGACATACTTGAATACTTATTTTACATAACTAAGTACAAACGACAAACTCATCGCTAGCAAGCGATTTCTTCCAGGCAACTTAGCATTACATGGAAAATAGAACAATAAATAGCTGATTGTGCATTCAACTAGATAAATAATAATAATTTTTAAATATCAAAAACAAAAGAAGGACAGTTTCAAGGTACGAATAAAATTCTCAGACACAGGCGACAACCAGAGCGCGAGAAAGGAGAAAAAACATAGAAAAATTACATTCGTAAGGACAGGATGGGTGACTAAAACATTACTATCTTGAGCACTGTGCACAGCACGGGCACAATGCACGTTAAGCTGTTAGTCCTGGCTGCATCAGCATCGTGAACACCCACCGATCCGCATTAAGCACAGTGGGTTATGGCCCATTGATCTTATTCGATTCGACTCCATTCATAGGAATAAAAGAATTCTACAAAAATACTTCCCACGCAGACGAAGTTGCGGGCACAGCTAGTGTATTAATAATTTATGGTATCTAATGGGTAGACAGCAGCACGTCAGCTTAATACCTAATCTAGCCATAAGTTCTGTTACAACAAAAAAAATATCCGATAATATCTAAAAAAAGAAATATTTTAAAGTTCTATATGTGATTATGTAGAGTAAAAAAGATACGTTAACATACTAAACTAGTTATTCAGTGTCCACCCTTAGCTTTAACGCATTCTTTAAAACGGTCGGGCCATTCGTCGATGGATTTATGAAGGGTTTCCATTGGAAAAATGGTCACTGCTGCCTCCAAAGACTTCTTGAGCGACTCAATATTTGGGTGTCGCTTAGAGCAGACCATGTCCTCTAACACAGATCACAATTTATAGTCCAAAGGGCTTAATTACGGACTAGCCGAAGGCTAATCATCAGCCTTTATGAAGTCTGGAACATTTTGCTCAAGCCAAATTTGGGTAGAGCGCGCCTTATGACCTGAGGCTGAATCCTGTTGGAATGTCCACACTTCGCTTTTGAATAAGGGATCTCGATCGATAAGCCTGAAAGTTTCACTAATTTTTCGCAAAAATTGAGTTTTGTAACCCCTTGGTAGGAGACACCCCACCAAACCATGACGTATGCTGGATGATGGCCTCGCTGAACCTTCGCCACTACCTCAGAAGCTTCCTTAGAGCTATGTGCATACACTCGATAATTTTGTTTGTTGTAGTGCTCCTCGATTTAAATTTTATTTTTTCTTAAGTAAAGAGATTTCTTTGTTTTTCGTCCGCGTATCGAAGTAACAGCTGTTTTGATCTTTCGATTCTCTTTTGTTTTAGTGCCTAATTTAAGGTATGTCCTGTGTGTCTCCGGTAAGCCCCTAGACCTAAGTCTTGTTTGATAATCCGAGAAAGTGTCCTCGGTGGGATTCTCTTTTCTATGGAAAGGGTTTTCTGCTTCCTTATGGGATTTCGACGAATTCTGACCTTGACTGCATTAACGGTCTGGTTTGTTCAAATAGACCGCGGTCGGCTGGATCTCTCACGGTCATCAACAGACATGGTTTCAGTATACCTTTGTATGGTACGATACACAAACATTCGGCTAATCACTAGCTTTTTCAATGTATCAAAAAGTGTCGGCTGGCTCCTTGCCTACTTTAGACAGCGCAATTACTGCAATCCCATTCTCTTTAGTGCCCCACTCCATTTTCAAAACAAATAATTTCTAAACAAAAACACAATAATGGCGGGAAAGAAGTCTATTTATGTATTTGTGTTTCGTTAGGCGGCATTTATTTGTTTTTTTTTTCTCATGTTTATCCTATTTACGTCACTCAGTATAAAAAATGGAAAACTTGAAATATCGTGTTATTTACGAGTACGAGTTCCACTGTGGTACCAGTGCTGCGGAAACGGTTGCGTTTTTGGTTCCAACGTTTTAGTTCTGGAAATTTCGACCTACAGAACAAGCCCCGTGGACGGCCGAAGACCCAAGTTAATAATGAAGAATTGAAGGCTATTGTGGAAGCGGATCCATCGCAAACGACGTCAGAGTTAGCTGCAGGCTGCGGTGTTAGTAATAAAACTGTTTTAATGCACTTGAAGCAAATTGGAAAGATTAAAAAGAAAATGAAATGAGTGAAGCAAACCGGTAAACGCGCTTCAACTGCTGCGTTGTTGTTTACTTAACCGGCACAATAATGAAGGGTTTTTAAATCGAATCATTACATGTGATGAAAAGTGGATTCTCTACGATAATCGGAAGCGCTCATCGCAATGGTTGGACCCTGGCATGCCTGCCAAATCCTGCCCCACGCGAAAATTGACCCCAAAAAAGTTACATGTAAGCGTTTGGTGGACGAGTGCCGGTGTCGTTCATTACAGATTTCTCCAATCTGGACAGACGATTATGGCAGACGTCTATTGTCAGCAATTGCAAACCATGCTGGAAAAACTAGCTGATAAACAACTGAGGCTGGTCAATCGCTCTACGCCACTGCTACTTCACGACAACGCTAGACCACACACTGCACAACACACGGCTTCCAAATGAGAAGAGCTTCAATTGGAATGTCTAAGACATCCACCGTACTCCCCGGACCTTGCTCCAACAGATTACCATTTTTTTCGAAATTTGGATAACTTCTTGCAAGGGAAAAAATTCAACTCCGATGGGGCAGTGCAAATCGCCATTAAAGATTTTAAAGATTCCCGTCCGAATGGTTTTTTTAAAGTAAGGGTATCGATGAACTACCTATGAGATGGCAAAAGTGCATAGATAACAATGGTTTATACGTTGATTAACTAAATATATTATACGACATCTCCCATACCAAACACCAAATTTCATATGTAGTGACCTAATATTTAATTTTATGAGATCTACGATTTTAATTAATTAATAACACAACAGGCGACGATTCAACGATTCTTGATAGCATTCGTTCTTGAATAAATTGGAACCTGATATTAACAGACTTATTAAACAGTTTTTATATAAGAATCAATTGTGTTTGTTTTATTTTGAATAAAAGATACTCTGAATACTATAAAGTTAAATCATTTTCATTGGCAGGTGTAACCCGTAAGAGTTAACTGAGCACCGTTGTGTATTACCTACTGCGTTCAACTTTCAAGTTAACTCTTGCGAGTTATTGTAAAAGTCTCGTTAAAAGTTAACGTTTAATCTCCGCTAATATAGCTTACAGTAATCAATTCATTTAATTTAAAGTTATAGAGGTTTTTAAGTAGGTGAATAAATCGGGGCGCTTAGGCAGTAGACAAAATAAGTTTGGGAACCCCTGATGTAGTCGATTCTGAGGGTAGTCGTCAAAATTAAGTCTGTACAAAATGTCAAATTTCACAAATCGTTTTTAAACCTTAATGTCTTGTGTTTAGTATAGAATTCAAAATCCATTGCAGAAATTTGATATTTTGTGGTAACCTGACGCGATGCCGTGTGTACCACTTTTGGATATCCAAATGTTTGAAAGAAATTGGTACCTATTTAAGAGAGCTGTGCGAGAACACTCCAATCAATTCGTGTTTCCTAGTTTATGTTTTCACTCATTCTCTTTTTTAAGTACCTACTATGTTATGTGGTAGGTAGTTTTATCAATCCCAATACCTACGATTTTTTCAAGTAGCGAAAAAACTTGATAGTTAACGCGTTATTTTGTTCTTTTATTTCATTTAGGGACCTTGAAAGCATGTCCGTCTTATCACAGCCTAATGTGTATAAATTTTAAATGATATTTTGTGATTTTCATAAGCTTTTTTTAGCCCCAGAGAAAAAATCGAGAACGGTCCACTGTGCCACTGCTATTACTAAGTGGTGAGCAAATTCAGGAGCTTTGTCAACTAGTACAGCTGCAGATACTAGTGAAGTGAGTACGTATCCCCTACGGAGGTCTTAAAAGGACGAAGAGAAAAAAATGAATGAATAGATTATAGTGTATCTGTGATTATTTTTTCTATTGCGAATATTTTATTAATGCACGTTTTGGCTGTGACAGAATCCGTAGAAAGACGATGTGGGTAGGAGTTATTAATTTTGAATAAAACAGCTTGTTTGGACGTAGTGTTTTGCAAATCCAGTTGAAAGTTAGTGATTTTGGTTGAACGCGCTCTCTTAAGGCCCATTTATCTCTATTGCGCCCAGTTATGACTCGATCTCCCTATTATTTTATTAACACTGATAGTTGAAATAATACGTAAGAATCGCGGGATAAAATATATTTTATTTTGGGTTACCAGCCAGGCCCGGGTCTACGATTTTTTTTAACCGGGGCGAAAATTTCGTATGGCGCCGGATTTTATATTACCATATTTCTGTAGTGTTATGTTAGGCATTATTATAATGATGATTTGGCACTGACACCCTGGAGCAAGTGCCCCAACTCCCAGACCCGGCCTGACGCCAATCAAAGATTTAAAAAAATGGAATTTTCTAGTCTCGGGTCTGGATGTTGTGATACCTTCGTTGTCCCAGATACTCCATAATACGGGGGCTTTAGCTACTCATCTTGGAATCTGAGCTATGTATGTGATGTGTCTACCCAGGAGGTGTCTATGGTTTGGGGTCCATCTCCTACAAAGTCCTCTTAGTATTCACTCTGATTCTGAAGACTTCTTCGAAGAATTTATGAGCAGATAACATTCCATTCTTTAAGTCATTTGAATAGAAAGGAACTGGTAAGCGTCTTTCCATACAGGTGGGATGTGGATAATGTGGCAGTAGTACTTTTTGCTAAGATGTACATGAGCTAAAAATAGTTAAAGTACTTAATGCACAGAGAAAAAGTATCTCCTGTGTTTCAAGAAGACACTAATTTTTTTTACTAAATAATTAATAATAATTTTACTTTGTAATGACAAATTGTTTAATCCAGTGTAAAAAAACATGAAACAAAAAAGCAGTTAGGCTATTGACATAAGACCAAAATGAGAAACACAAATTTTGTATGTTAATTAGAATTTATAATTTTGTCTCTGCACTATAACAATTAGTGTATATGAGTAAATTACTTTTAATCATCAAAATTTTGTGAAAGCAAAAAATTTGCTGCAAGGTTTTCATTCTTTTCACAGGCAAAATATGCTTGAATAACCATATGCTCAGGAAACCCAAGAGCTTTTAATCGTTCAATAGCTTCTTTGTCTTGAGGTGAAACTTGAATAACGTTTTGGGGCGGTTGTGGCTGCTGTGGTTCCACTGCGCTGTCTTCAGTAGCTGTTGCACCACTTGATGGATTTGCAGGCTCGTTTAGCATTCTAACAAAAGCTTGTTGATGCTGACTGATTGCTTGTAGAAGTGCAGGATTAGTTTGACCAATTTGTTGTAAAATTGCATTCAATAAGTTAGGATTCTGTTGAATAACTGCTCGCATTTGTTGAAACTGTGGCTGATCACGCAGAAAAGCTAAAGGATCATCATCAGTACCTTCTTCAACTTCTTGTTCCTGCAGAAGCTCTTCAGGTATCCCAGTTATTAAATATTCCACTGCTCTCTCTCTGTTGTTAAATGACGCTCTTAAAGCTTGCTCTACTTGCTGTCGATTGTAGCCCATATCCATTATGCTTTGAACTGTTGCTTCAAAGTCAAGTTCATTGGCAGTCACAGCTGGCTCTGCTGAGCGTTCCGGTTCTGTAGCGGGCGTAGGTTTCGGGGTCTCTTCAGGTTTTTTATCTTGGCCATCGCCACTTTCAGTGGAAGCGCTTTCACCAGCTTCAGGTGCAGAGGTAGACGTAGCTTGTATTTCTGATGCTTTAGGTTTAGTGACCATGATAACAATAAATTTCTTCTCGTCTATATTATATGTACTTATCTTATTATCATCGAGAAGAATCTTTCCTGCATAAATTAATCTTTGATGATCAGCAGCGTAGAATTTTCCCTTCTCGACTTCAATTTTGAGCTTGAGGGCTTTGACAGTTTCCTCTGGGTCGATTTCTATTTGAAAAGTAAGCTGTTGTAACGTTTTTAATGTCACTAACATTTTTTTAGTATTTCGTTGGAAATATGAATAGTGATTGAATTACTATTACACTGCAAACTATTTATCTTTGTATTCTGACTCGACAAAATTATGCAGTAAACATAACCTCTCACGCAATGAGTAGGGAAGTACACAAAAAGTATCGATACCTGAGATAGCGATACTTTTATTTCGGTACTTTTTTTTCGTATAGTTTAGTTCCGATAGTTTTGCTTTCTCATGTTTATTAGTTTGAATTTAATATCAAAATTTGACATTTGAACAATATTTAATAGAATTTGTGTAGAATTACTTTGATAAGAAATGAATTTTCCTAAACAAAGTATTTAAATAAAGAATTTTGAATAAGCTATTTTTAAATGTTAGAAAACAACATTTTTTTATTTCATATAGTATTTATTTCATAAATAGGAAGTCTTTGCATTTTGTATTTAAATACGTTTCATGTACCATTATGCATATTTACTCTGGTAGTCTTGGAAACTTAATAAGAGTCCATTTTGCAAATGGAAATAGAATCGGTTTCAAATAAAATAAATCAATAAAATTCGAAATTCACTTTTCAAAAACACAAAAAAGCAGTAGCTTTGCTTGGATTAAATGTTTTTATTTTAAATTGTATATAATATATTTTAATCAACTTGTGAGCAGGGCTGGATTAGCCACGTAGCAAAAGTGGCAAATGCTACGGGCCCATCATGTTTGAGAGCCCCACGCTAAAAGCCTCGCCAATAATTCAGAGCCAATTAATTAATTTTTCAAGTCGGTATTAAATAATGCAAGAAAAAGCCACGCTTCTGACTAGTCATATTTTTAAGCATAAACATAAACTGACAAATAAAACTCAAGTCACAGATAATTTGTTTTGTGTTATTCGGAAAGTAATAGATTATTTTTTTTTTGTTTCGGAAGTGGTGGGGAGAGCGGACGGTTAATTTGCAACGGTCCCCACTCTGGCTTAATTCGGCACTACTTCTAAGTTATATTAGTGAAGAAGAAAGAGCAAAAACCTGACCACTAAAGAAGTAACTTTGCATTTTGTTAATAGAAAATACGTTTCAAAATGTGTATTAAATAACATTAAATGCATTTTTTTTAAAGGTATTTGAATAATATATAGAAAATAGGTACTATGTAATTTCAAATGTAGTACAGCTAAAATAAAAAAAAAACAATTTTTTTATAGGTATAAGCTAGATCTTTTTACAGAATTTAACAGCAAGGGCTATCTATTCTGTTATCTACAAATAACTCGATAGCTACCTTCAGGAATCGGTATTTAATATTACCGATACCATTTTAGTCTCAATCTTTCAATACGATACTTGTATCGAGTGAAGTATCAATACATTAAAAATGCGTATTCCCAGCAATGAGTGCTGCTAGATTGTAGTCATGGATTTACCCAATGGATATCTATTATTACCCGATTATAACAGTATACTATTATAAAATGGTTATCTAATATGGAACTGTGTACAGTTTGTGTATACGTAATATCTAAGCGCGTGTGTGTTTTTCGTAGTTTTTACTATAGGAAACTATTCATTATATCTGAGTTTTAATACAATTAATATTTTTAATACAATATGAACTGCATTTTTTTTTAATTTAAGACAGTCAAAGTCAAAATATGTTTCTCCGAATAACCTTGTTTAAGTATTATTTAATCGTCATTATTTTCCTACCACTCATTCAAGGCATCTTTTGACTCACCCGTGTCATTACTAGATCAATACATTATAAATATATGAAGCTACTTTAAATTTACAAAATTAATTAAAATAATGAAAAACTATGTTATACAATGGTATCGTAAGGGGCCATCCATAAATTACGTCACACGTTAATGGGGAGGGAGGGAGTCGACGAAGTGTGACATTGTGTGACACACTTCGGGGGTGGGAGGGTCCTAAATTTCGTGACGTCACATTTCAAAATAATCTAAGTGTTAAAACACGAACTCTAAACTATTACTTTACAAAAACCTTGCAAAATATGTGACATCACACTAGGAGGGGGAAGTCATACAAATGTGACCAGTTGTGATTAGGACGGGGGAAGGGGCAAAAAATCATGAAAATCGTGTGACGTAATTTACGGATGACCCCTAATGGATCAATAGGCAACACGATAATTTTAAATATAATGAGTTTAGAAGAAATCAATTATCTAATTGCTGAAAAATCTTAATTCCAAGCATTGTTATCGGTTAAGATTAAACACTTTATAATAAGTTTTTTTTTTTACTGATTTGCTTGGGACCCTATTGTAAAAACGCATATAGAGACAACTGAACGAATGAACATAAACACCTCTGAATGAATTAATAACGTTAATTTATTTGTATTTCTTATATTAAAATTACGTATCACCTTAGACCATAAAACCAGCCAATTGCGAGTCGGATTCCCACACAAAGGGTACCGCACTGAAAAAGAGTAAAAAAAATCACAGTTGTTGTATGAGCGCCACCTTACATATTTATTTTCATTCTATTTTTAGTATATGTTGTTATAGTGGCAACGGGAAATCCATCATTTGTGAGAATTTCAGCAGTGTAACTATCATGGTTCATCAGATATAACCCGTAGACGGAAAAAAATCACGTTTGCTGTATGGGAGACCCCTTAAATATTTATTTTACTCCTTTTTTAGTATTTGTTGTTATAACGGCAACAGAAATACATTATCTCTGAATATTTCACCTATCTAACTGTCACAGTTCATGAGATACAGCCTGATGTAGACAGACAGAGAGTGAAGTCTTAACAATTGGGTTCACGCTTACCCTTTGGGTACGGAACCCTAAGAAAGGAGATGAAGTATATTAATCTCAGTTATATATTGGTTAATCTTTATTATGGCATTATGCTGCATAGAATTTATTAATATGTGGGCTCTACTGAGCTTTAGTAGCTAGTATAATTCCTAAAAATTTTAGATTATTACTTTCGTGACTTTCACGCTCACTCGTTTCCTTCAGTGTTTTCACAGAAACCTTTCTAAAATACTGTGAAGTTAATTTTATTTAGTGATATTTATAAAAAAAGGTATCATCGTATCATGATATTGATACGGTCAGCGCAGATTCAAAGAAAGTTCGAAGATATAGAAACAAAAAAATCACAACCACTAATAAATGAAAATTATTACACGCGGAAAACAACAAGCAACTAGCGAAATGGGCTATGCGGGGTGACCGAACGGTCACGGTGTGAACACAAGGGTTATCTGTCGCGCGTGAAATTCTAAATACATCGGCAAATTAACATACCGACTCATATATATCGGTACCCCATGCATCCCTACAGTAAACCCGAAATGTCGGTCAAATCAAATATGTTAAATACACTATAGCATTTTTTTGTAGTTGTGACTTAATCTTAACACAGACATATTTCATGGCGAACTTTTAGATAAAAGAGTTTCGCCATCGAATGCTTTTTATAAATTCTCTAATTCTGAAAACAATTATGTATACGACCTCAAAGAAGACTGGTATTACGCATTTTTGGTCGTAAATGACACTCAACTGTTTTGTTGTTTTGTTTTGGCATCACACGGTAACGACTGTAACGAGGAAGTATTAAAAAAAGCATTAGTTCCCAAAATCAAACTAGATGTCGCTACGGTACTTTCTTGATTTCTCCATGACAACTCTTCCGGTTTTATTTTAAACGATTTGAAAATCATTTTATAATTATCGAAACTCGATAAACAACTCGTATTCAAATTTGTACTTGTTCATATTTGTATTGATATCTAAGTTTTAAACTTTACAAATATCAGTTTTTTATATGTTAGTTAAAAGGAACGGAAATGACTATCTTTAATTTCATATCTCTACCAAAAGTTGAATTTTGCAGGAAACGACCATACGTTACCTAGTAAGAGTCGCCATCTAGTGAGGGGCTCTTTTAGTGCTTTCTTTTTTTTCTTAAAATACTTCGTCGTTGTAGAGCGTAACGTGCGAGCGACCCATATTAAGCTTTCAAATAACATTTAAATTATTTAATTTAAATAGATTTAGTATGTTTGTCTCCCTTATATCTACGATTAAACTTTAAACAAAGACAGAATAAACAAGATAATAGGTAACTGTATGAGGAAGTATTTAAAAAAAAACCTTAGTTCCCGGAATCAAACTAGATGTCGCTACGGTACGTTCTTGATTTCTTCATGACACTCTTCCAGTTTTCTTTCATGTTTAAAAGTACATTAGTTTTCAAAACTCAATAAATAACTCATTTGTATTTTTTCGTATTTGTATTGATATCTAAGTTTCGAACTTTTCAAATAAGTTTTTTTAATGTTAGTTAAAAGGAATGGAAATGACTGTCTTGGGTCCATTCGATTCCTGCAAAAATCAACTTTTGCTAGAGTCGCCATCTAGTAAAGATGCTTTTATAGTGCTTTCGTTTATTTTAATACTTCCTCATTAATTATATGATATTAATGAGGAAATATTTAAAAATAAAAAGAAAGCACCAAAAAGCACCTCCATATGATATTTAAGTTTCGAACTTTTCAAATTTCAGTTTTTTAATATGTTAGTTAAAAGGAACGGAAATAACTGTCTTTGGTCCATTCGTTTCCTGCAAAAATCAACTTTTGCTAGAATCGCCATCTAGTGGAGGTGCTTTTTTAAAAAATCACCTCCACTAGATGGTGACTCTGGCGGCTTTTGTTTTTTTTATAAATTACTTCATTTACTTTTATACATAAAAGAAAGCCGAAAGGGTTGTCATGGAGAAATCAATCACGTACCGTAGCGTCATCTAGTTTAATTTTGGGAACTATATTTTTTTAAATACTTCCTCGTTAGAACAAATTTTCATCTTAATAAAAGTTTAAATATTTTTAAAAATATTTCTTACGGCTGTTTGGGTGGATTGCCTGAACACTGATGAAAATTCGCTCTGTAGTGTGTAAAAAATAATAAGTGTCTGAAAGATTCGTTAGTAAAAAAAAACCTTCAGTCCTGTTAGGTCCTGGGCAGCTCAGTGGTTAGAACAATCGTTCGGATTGGTTCGAGTACCATCTCAGAGCGCCAGGGGCGAAGTGGATTTCGTAAGAAGTTTTCATTAAGAATATTTAAACTTATAATGTTCAATA